TGGGCTCGCGTCCCGGAGAAGACAGGAATGTTTGTAAATGTATAGTGTCGGTGCGGCATGGCGGCACTCTAAATAAACGGATTGGTGGGAGTAGAGAAGATTGGGAGACCCCGGATCCCCCACAGGATGCTCTTCCTCAAAATTGGGAGTGGAAAATAGAATTCCAATCTCTCTTCGGAGTAGACTCTAGCAAACATTATTCCATGTAATATGGGCATAACAACAATAAGAACCTAACCTTTAATTTAGTTTTTCAAAAATTAATGATATCATAACAACAACGCAGATGTGAAAAGGGGCGGAGTTCGGGAGACATGACGTTAGACAGTTTCACCGACAAAAGAGTTGAGATCTAACGGATGGCAAGTTTTATAGCAGTTCCTTTAATCATAGCTGTACGAATGTACAGCATTCTTCAATTCATTTTTTAAAAAAATTATTACTTTCTTTGATATCAAATTTCTAACTTGGTCAGTTCATTTCTAAATCGGAAAAGTAATTTTTTTTTTTTTACGTAATTTACCTAGGTTGGCTCATGTTGAATTAAAATCTCAGTAAGCTCGTTAAAGATTTCGTTGCGATTATTTAAATTCTCTTGGGGAACGGTTAGATCTGTAACTAGGGTTTTCAGCTCCCAGGGACAATTCAAGAGCTCACGCCCCCTTTTTTTTGCATGGAGATAGGAAGTAAGATGGAGAGGCCCTAACCGGTTTTCCCCATACCACGGAGTCATTATACTCGGTGCCCCATACACTGCTTTGAAGTACTTGTGATCCCTTCGTTGGTGACCAAAATATTGCGTGATTTACTATTAAGATCAATTGGGTTTTGACACGATCAGGTGTAAATATTTTGTAATTACGTCGTAAATATGCATATAAATGTATATATTTTCTTTTTCCACAATATTTCAGAGTCCTAAGTATACGAAAAGAATAAGTTTTTAAACAACATTTAATTCTGAACGGAATTAAATGCTATACTTTTCACAGAACAGTTTGCTCAGAAACGGTTTAATTTGAATGAAATATTTTTACAAGTTTTCGTTAATTACATTAGGAAGAAATTTTAATGTAATTCTAATTTATTCAGGTAAATTCGATTTTTTATTCTTTAAAAATTAAAATTTATTCGGATTGCAAAAATTAAATATCAAAGTTTATTGTACTATTAATATTAAAATTATGAATTATTTCTTTTCTATTTATAAAGCTTCTTCCTAAAATGCTTTCTCAGATATGACATGATTTTTTAGCTTCTGGGGCATCTTTTAAATGGAAAAAATCTGAATCAATTTATAATTAATACTCTATTTCGTCCATTTCAAATTAGCGCACCTTTTATTTTAATAGTGAAATACGTTAAATATTATTTAACTTTCTCTGAATATTTCTGAAAGAAAATTAAAAAAAAATAGTTTTATAACGTATCTGTCAACAGGATTTCAATTTATGTTTACAATTCAATGTTAAGATTATTATATATTTAGATTTAGATACATTTAATAATAAAATTTCTTCAAAGTAACTTTCACAGAAGTTTATGAATGAATAAATCCTTCATTTCAAATACATTTATGTGGTTTTCCCCCATGTGTAACGTGTATACGAGCCAGTTTCCTTTAGAAAGTCTTCCACGAAGGCATTCTTCCCTTTAGGCAGATAGCCCTAGAGGCTTTGCCGTAATCACACACACACACACTCAAATACATTTATAAATAATTTAATAAATATTTACGTTTTTTGTTAAAGACAAATACATGTTTTTTGCAAGCACAAGCATAAATACCCACACATATTTCATATTTTTCATTTTCGGCATGTGCAAATTTTTAATTTCTGTGCATTCACAATCTTTTCCGTGTAAAGTAATTTACAATAATTTAGCATATACACGAATTTTTTACATAAGAAATATATATAAATATATATATATTTCTTATGTAAAAATTACATGCATTGTTTTTAATATCAACTCAAAGGTCATAATTTAAAATTTCTCCACGATGGCATGTCTCCCACATAATTTTATATTTACATTCAGCCATCAAGTTTCCAAATTTTGACTTAAAACACGTTTTAGGATACATTCATTACCAAATTCAAATCTTCTAGATATATTTTGGGAGAGCACTCAATACCTTTGCTGTTACTGGTTCTCAATTTCTCAGAGAAATCTTTAAACCAGGAGAGAGTTACTTGAGAATCGAAAATTTCGCCACATTTTAATTACGATATTCAGAGCAGATATTGTAATATGCTCCAGTTAGCCATTCTTTGCCTATGAATGAGACCTACTTATGTTAAGAAAGTAGCATGAAGCTCGGATTTCCGAGAAAAAAGATTTGTATGGGAAATATTTAACAACTGGAATCAATAAGAGGACCACTCATGATCGGACCTCCTATGGCAGGATACACAAATGTTTTCACCTGCATCGATTACCCTATTCACAAATTCTTAATAAACTATCTTGATGATGTTGCACATTCAGATGGTCACATCATCTTGACCGCACATGGTACTTCCGCGGAATTCGCAAATATATCCATCTTCTGTTCCACACATTGATGTAAAACTGTACATAATTTTACACAAATGTATGGTTACAAATCAAGGAAAAGTTATCTTAGTGATATATCTGTTATGCATGTTTATTAGTTTTGACGAGAATTTCAGCATTTGGTGGTAATTTTATTTTTTAATTAACCCAAATAAGTAAAATGTGTCAACCCAAAATGATTATTTTTCAGTTATATGCAAATAAAATGATGAGTTTAAAATAAGTAACTATAGAGCCTCTCCTTTAAAAAATTTTAAAAAGTGCATGTTACAATAATATGTGGATGACAAAAAATTTATTTTATTTAAAACATTTTGGCGTTTGGTACATAAAATAAAAGTAGAGAATATTCTATCAAGAGTATTGAAAGACGTATACAATTTTAAAGGTACCGTAAGGTATTTTTCATTCTTTAAGCATAACATTTTTGCTAAAATCTATATTTTTGTTGTTCAACAGCTTGGAATTTTATAAAACAAATTCATAATCAAAATCGCTATCGTTAGTTATCGAAAAATAACCAAGATAATATAATAAAATTATATTACCATCAATAGTAAAAGATGTGATTTTTGAGTAAATGTCACTAAACTATACAATTTGCTATTATCCATCACACAATTAATGTTTCTTTTATGTGGAACTGTCCACACACTTTTTAGATTTGTATGGAACTGTCGTGTGTCGAAATACTATCAAAGTGCTGTCAAGGGAGCTTCTGAATCTAAACCGAAAACACCCCAACTGGAGACCGAAGCCTCACAGGAGTGCTTTACTCTTAGGACAGGTTTGGCTCCTCCTTCCTTTCTTACCTCCATGCCTTTTTGCCAGAAATGGAAATACTTCATTCTAAAATTTCTTAACATCAGTTTGGTGCCTCCTGGATGTTGCGCGCAGGGACAAATGCCTCCCTCTGGCTACGCTTCTGGAAAAAGTTTAAGGTTGTTAAAGTAACCCGTTATTATAATTGGGATCTGTACTTAAACTTCTTCTTTTCATATTTGTCATCGGAAATGCAAATTAGCTTGATTGTATATTTAAGCTGAGTTTTTTTTTTTTTTTTTTTTTAAATCTTGAAACCTTCAATGCTGTCTTCTGGACACATAGTCATGGATTCCTCTTCTTGAAACGCCAATTTAGGCAATTGATGACAGCGAAATTGCACAATAATCGCGGCTTACAGCGACACTTGAAACCTCAACTTGTATATCTTGAAAAAGAGAGTTCTTGGCACTAGCGTTTACGTAGCCAGTTTATACTTTAGTATCTAACTGTGTAGTCGTAAACTACTGTTCAAATTAAATTTGACATGATTGTTCTTATTTAAATTGCAGTACTACGAACTGTGGTTATTTATAGCACAAAGTCGTGCCTTTTTCTTCGGAGTTATATTTAAATAAAATGGTTGTTTTGAAAATTTAGTAAGACTTATCGTTCCGTCCAACACGATCGAATAGTCGGTGTTCTTCTGTCTACACTTCTGTTCTTGGCCAACTAGATCTAGTTGGCCTTGGTCTGTTAGGAGATAGAACTGAAGTAGCAGTACTAGACCAAGTATAACATTAACAAAATAGTTCAGCAATAAAATTATGTAGCCGAATTTGTCTTATTTGAAACTGTTAATGCAAAGAAAAGTAAATTTAATGTTTTTTTATTTAATGATAATTAGTTCTGAAGTGTCTTCCAGACGGTATAGTTAGGGGAGCCTGAATGCGATGTCAAAGGGCCCGGGTTCGAATCTTGGAGAAGGCATGGATGTAAAATTGTTTTTTCCTTCATAGGAGGTAACGGTAGCGGCCTACTAAGTGTCTCCACAATAAAACGGGCACCCCTTCTGGCCTTAGGAGTGGCTATTGCCGTTATAGACAAGCGCCCGTCATTGGAAAAAAAAAGTTCCGAAATACTAGTAGAAGATCTGCTAGTACTCTATAGCGATACTACAGACAAGCAAGAAAAGTAGACAGATGTTTTGTTTTGGACTACGTCTTGCTGCTGCAGGGCGAAAAATCTAACTTAGATGTGAAGGAAAGGTATATAGATTGAGGGCAATTTCGCATTTCGTCTTATTTGGGAACTCCTGCTGGAATTATGGTTTCAGTAAAAATATACGAAATAGTACACCCGAATCCCAGCTGAAGTTAATTATTAAGTTCTAAATATTCAGTATCATGTACTACTTCAAGGATGACAGAAACGAAGTTCGGTAGAGCTATGATTTACCTAAAAAATAGGGAAATACCGTAGCTCTGATAGTAATTGCAACTTTTCTCATGTTGCACACTTAACATTGCTTTTATGCATTTACTTCCAATAGTTGTGTAAATCACATACGATTAAATTTTATGTATTGTCTAACCAATAGCTTCTTATATTTTATTCGTTCATTTTTACTTCGCTGTCTACACATAATTTATTTCATTTGTTAATAGAGTAAAACTGGCAACACTGTCCATGAACTTCGACTCTAGATTTACGACGTTCTAGTGTGTTTTTATGACTTAATAACTGAATATGACAATTCTCTCATCTTATGTGTGTATGTAAATATTATGCGTCTAATTTGTTTACAGTAGATGATAAGTTTCTGCTTTATTTGACGGTTTATGGCGACCGGTGGATCATGGCAAACATAGCAGTTCAGCGTATCAAACGAGAGTTTAAGGAAGTTGTAAAGAGTGAGGAGGTAAAATTTTATTTGTTATTTTTAAAATATATACTTGAATCCTACTATAGATTATAAAATAAGGAGTACCGTATGCAATATTTCAATAATTAGTTTGAAATTATAGCCGTGTGATGTGCAGTTATGTATTATTATTTTTTAAGCAATAATATTTTTTCTTTCGAGATCAAACGTTAGATGAAAACGTCTGAAAAATCATTATTTTTATATTTGTTGTATTTCTTCTGTAATTTGTTCTTCCTAAATTTAATACTGAATATATAAATAAATTTTCGTACTGTCTTGAAAATACTAGATGGCCTCCTACGTACCATCTAGGATCAAATTTTCTTATTTGTACTGGTTTTTTACTTAATTTTTTCATTGAATTGGTTCACAATGAATTGGTATTTCGTATAAACTTTCATCATCAAACATCAAAAGAATGAAGTTTCTCAAGGCATAATTCTCGGTTGATTATTTTCAGTGTTTTGCATTAGTAAGTAGCATTTACATCTTTTGACAACTAATCAGTGAGGCTAAGTCCACTGTAAATAAAGGAAAAAATAATAAAATATTTCAGTATTTATATATTATCCTGTCGACCACTGACAGAAATTTGACTGGACCACTTTTAGCAGTGGTTGCCAATTAATAATTGGGGCTAAATCATGCTACTTCACCATTGGTAGGATAATACTTAATTACCAGTATCAAAATCCTTCCAACAAAGCTCAGGTATGAATAAGTTTAGTAAAATGTGTTGCTGCATGTATTCATGTTTAGGGGTTGAACATCTGCTTGCAAATAAAAGATAACTAACCATGTGCATTTAACATGTACAATAGACAAGTATATTGTTGAATAAAATCAATGTTTTCTTATTTCTCCATATACCAAGACCACAGACTCTGTTCACTTTTTTGTTTAACAACTGGTATGTCTGTATTAAGAAATTATTTATCCCATTATCTGTATTTATGTTCATTACTCTAAAATGTATGAATAAAATTTTATGCTGACTTATTAAAAAACAGATTTTTTTTTAAAATCTGTATTCCTACAGGCTGCAAAATGTGCAATTAGTGTGGAAATAGTTAATGATACTTATACAGAATTAAAGGGTGAAATTTCTGGACCACCGGACACACCATATGAAGGAGGAAATTTTATTTTAGAAATCAAAGTACCAGAAACATACCCATTTAATCCACCCAAAGTACGTATAGTATTTTTAATGTTATTTTTCTGTGCTACATGAGTAGCCTTTTCCTATGAAGTATTAAAAATGTTTGTTTTGTGTAACATCCTTGGAGCTTAAATAAAAGAGAAATAAGTGTGTGATTGCAGCTGTGGTCAAGAGAAATTTCTTTTTGTTGGTTGTATGCAAGGAGTTGGTTCAATAAAAGTTGACCTTAGCTGTAACCATATTCTGGTCAATTAAGAGTATGGCCTTTTTTTTTTTCCCATCTAAAGGCGAGATAAGTTTTAGGTGTCAACATGAGCAGCGGAGCAAAACCTGTTGTAATAAATTCTAGTTTGGAAGCAAACAAGAGCCTTGAATAATTTAAGGAAGTTAGATTTCCTTTTCCCTGAAGTTTTTGGCAATTTATTATTGTGTTCCCCTTGGTTCTGTAGAAAGGCCTGAAATTAAGTTATTGGCTAGCTCAAACTTTAAATTTTTCTAAATTAACTAACGGTAAAATTCAGGGGGCATTAATGACGGAAAGGAAAGTTTTGCTTGGATGTTCCATTAGAGGAGAATATGAGATTTGCTAAAGATTATGAAAAAAAGTCACTGAAAATATAAGGACAAAAAAGAGAAAACAGCCCTTTTGAGGCCTTGTCCTTTAACCTTCAGGCATTAGGCTTGTTAAGACGTTTGCTAGGACTTGGGTAGCATCTGGACTCTGTTTCTTAAGTCTGTGTCACTCAATATGTTTTTGTCATATTTTAGTATGATTCAAGGGGGCAAAATCATGATATGTGCAGAAAGGTATAGTTCAATTGATAGAGTTCATTTTCATCAAGATGTCATAGGTCACCATGTTTTGTGATGTAGAGGATGAAATTATGTATCTTTATTATCCCATTTAGCAATGTTTAAGAGCAGAACTGGCAAATGAAAGTTTTATATTCAAGGACTACCTCTTGAGACAGTTCTGTGTAGCTAGTAGTGTTATGGATGGTCAATTTGATTAGTAGAATTGGTTATCGACACACATGGTTTGGGGGTTCGATGAAATTTCACATTACGAGCTGGACAAATCTTTACCACTCTTTTCAGAAAATTGAAGGCGAAGTAAAAGCATATGTAAAGGTAATTAAATTTTTTCTAATTTTTCTAGCATGATTTCTAATATGCCTTTAAATTATTTTTATGCTTATAGTGTTTGCATTTTTAATTCTTTCATTATTCTACGCTAGTCAGGAAAAAAATCGAAATTTTACCGAGAACTACCAGTACAAAGGTAAAATTTTAATTCCAATCTTCTTTTTAAAAAATCATGAGATCTTCTTTAGTCTTACAGTGCAAATCTGGGTGTTTTATTGCTATCTTTTCGTTAAAAAATAGCAATTTTATCATGTTTTTTGGTACAAAAACTGGAATCCCATCGATAATGTTCGGCTGTAATAAATAGACATCTCCTTGTGATCTTCTAGTGGGCAAATCAGGACTTAACATTCAGGTTATATGAAATTAATTTGTCTAAGAGTCACCCTATGTGAAAATCAATATTTAGCCGACATCTATCTATTCAAAAATCAGTATTTTGCGTGAATGTTCGGATTTTTACAGATTTTTGAGCCAAAATAAGTACTTTTTCGGATTGTACAAACCCTGCTGTAAATACTCTTGTTTTCTTAATATTGTGTAGGAGAGAAGTATAGTTTTTATTATTATTGTTTTAATCTGATGGCATAAGATCGCCAAGCTCATTACTGATTTTAACTAAATGTTGGTCTTGAAACAATTGTAATTTGTATTCGCACTTATAAGATAAATTCCTTTCATATAAAAATTAATATCTTAATCAAAATTAAGATCGCATATGAAGAAAATTTTAAATTTAAGAAATTCCATACAGTCTGCAAAACGAAACGAAATTTCTACAAGTGATCAGCTTTTAGGAGAAGCACATCAAAAATATTTTTTAGTGTCTGACTAATTTTTTAAAACTATTTAATTCCTTGAGACCGAAGCAATTATTCCAGAAGAAAAATTAATTTAAATATTTAAATATGTGTTCTAAATCCATCAAGGAGTTTTGTAAAAAAAAAAAAAAAAAAAAAAAAAAAGCTGTCAAGCCATTTGTCAACCAGCTCAGAACCATCAGCTAAGAAACCAAAGATTGACAAACAACCAGAAGAAACCATTTCTAAACATAATAAGTTTTTAAGTAAGTGGCTTGAAGAATTTTCTTGGGTCCTCTTCAATAAAGAGGAAAATAAAATGTTTTGTAAAACATGTCAATCTGCAAGTATGAAGAATGGTGTGGGTGTGATGGGTTCATCATGTTTCCAAAGAAGTACTCTGTCTCGCCATGCAAAAACTACAGAACACAGGCTTTCTTTAAATGCCAAGAAAGATGCTAAAGCTCTTGAAAATATCAACGAAAAGTAAAAAATCTATAGCAACAGATGGCGATCTGGCAGCATTCAAAACTGTTTACACTATTGGAAAAGAACTTCTTTTAACGAAATTTAAGCCTTTAATGATGCTTATGAAATCCTGTGGAAATGAGACTGTGAAAGAGATTCACTTCGATTTATTTCAAAATTCTGTTACAGACATAATTAAAGCTATTTCGGAAGTATTAGAATCAAATTTGGATAAGGATGTTTTACAAAGCCCCTATATTTCTTTAATAATAGATGAATCAACAGATATTTCATTTGAACGTAAATTAATTATATATGTGAAATATTTGAAAAACAATGAAAGTCAGAACAGTCTTTGGGCGAATTTAAAACTATCAGGTGAATGCAATGCAGATACACTGAAAGAAATAATAATAAAGTTTTTCAACAGTTGGTGCTGCTGTTATGATAGGAAAAAACACAAAATTTCAGGATGGATACCTGGTTTGTTGTACTATCACTGCATAGCCCATCGTTTAGCTTTAGTTGTTTCCCAAGCTGCTGATGGAATATCCCTGTTTCAAAGCTGCCAGAGAATTTTAGATTCATTGTATGCTTATTTTCACACGTCCAATATTAGGATTAAAAAGCTGAAATTGATGCAAGATGTGTTAAACGAGCCAAACATAACTCTCAAAGACATAAATGCTTTTCGGTGGTTGTCACTTGGGAATGCATTTGATGTATTTCATATCAGTTATGATGCTGTTATCCTTGCCCTGGAAGACATAATCGCAAACTGAAAAACAAGCAATCCTATGGACAAGGGCCCAGGACTACTTAACAACCCTTTCAGGACGGGCGTCCCATATACGCATTCCCTAAGAACGTCTCTTACAGCTAGGCATCCCATCCACGCATCAGTAGAGATTGCATTCAGAGGACAGGTGCTGCGTATACACATTTTTAGGTGGAACGTTTTTCTGAAGGCCACTAGATGGCATCCTATGTCCATTACTTTTGAAAGGAACACAGTTTTAGGTTGCTGACCTTGAGTTTGATATATCCTGCTTGACTATGGTATTTTACTCATCAGCTGTTTGAGGGTGGGGGCAGAGGAAAAGCGTAAACAGAGGTGGGCTCTTTAAATCGCTGTGTGCTAATGAAAACATTCTCGTCTCTGATTTATATCAAATTCCTTTTTTTATTCTATTTTTTCCTGTAATATGTAGGTCTTTTAGGGTTACTGTGCGCGTTTTTTTTTTTTAACATTTTGATTGCCTTCAGATATTTTCCCTTCCTCTTTTTTTATTTAGGAAGCCTCATCTCCAGTCTATTATGGGGGAAGGCGCATTTATCAAAGTAGAATGCCTCGTATGGTTAGTGACCATTTACTAATGCATGAGAATCTGAGTCTTTTCTAAGAGTTAAATGTGATACTTTTTCTAAGAGTTAAAGTGATACTTCTCTGTTCTTCGAGATTTACCACTCTCGTTTTCATTTAAATTTTATTACCTCTTAATGTAAATAGTCTTTATTGTGTTCTTTTATTAATTTAAAATTTATGATGGATTTTATCAAATTAAAACTTTGGAATATTTGATTAGCGCTTCAAAAAATTAGTTACAAGAATAAGCTTTTTAAGTACATTTTCAGTAAAGAAAAAAAAAATTTTTTAAGTGCTAATTTTTAACATATATAAGAGCTCAGTATATCTAAAAGATACCAAAAATTAACGTTGCTTGAAGCGAAACTTTTGTTTTTCTGATTTTTTTATAAAATTAGGCTTAGCGATGCAAAACCTCCATCCTGTACGGTAACTGCCTTCGATTCTCTTCCGTCCCGCACGAGTGTCTTAAATAAAGGTGCGCTGTCGCGAAAAGGTTAAACAATGCTCAATTTTCATTTGCAGCCACTTTGTCATTTTTGAGAGATGTGTTACTGATTGTGAACAAAGTCAGTAAAATTTTTCAGAGCAATGATGTGGACTTTTCCTTGTTGGTTAACAGTCTAGAATCAATTATTAATCGCATGCAGGAAATGAAAAAGTAGGAAGGTCATGGCACTCATCTGAAGGAATTTTTAGAGTCTGCTCTTAATAATGGGTATTATCGATTTCAAGATATTAAACTATCTCTTTCTACTAAAACTTTAAATGATTTCATGAGTGCTAAAAAGGTTTTTTTGAGTGCACTGATAGAGAATCTGCAAGAAAGATTTAATTTGCAGCAGATGCATCTTTTGCAGGATTTTGATGTTTTGTTGATTTCCTCTTGTGTTACAACAACAGAATCATCAAGATTGGAGTCGAGTGCCTAGATAATGTTATTAAACATTATTAAACCAGATTCTACTTCGGTTTTGGGTGTTTCAGCAGAAGAGTTAAAGCAAGAGCACCTTGAAGTAGAGTGTTTTTATGCACACTACAGAGAATTCAAATTTAAACAGTTTGCCAATTTGTTGTTCTCATCAAGTTTAGATGGTGAACTCTTATATCCAGGATTTACAGCTCTGGCATAAATAGCTATGACTATTTTGTCAATGGCAGTTTGTGAAAGAGGATTTTCTACTCAAAAAAGGATCAAATCAAATAGGAGAAATAGATTGGGGGAAAAACAACTGGAAATTATAATGAGAATATCTGAGGAAGGCTCTGATTTCAAAGAACAAAGGGAAATGTTTTTTGTGATTTTTAATTTTGAAAGAGCAATAAAATTGTGGAAGAGGAAAAAGTTATTAGAATTGTAATGTAACGAAGGGAAAATGTTTTTTGTGACTTTAATTTTGAAAGAGCTGTGATGTTGTGTAAGGAAATCGGGGGAAAAAATTAAAATTGTAATGTAACCAAGAATAAATGCTTTTTGTAAATTTAATTTTGAAAGAGTTTTGATATTGCAAGGAAATCAGCTGTAACATTGTGAAAAAAATCAGAGGAAAAGGATATTAAATTTGTAATATTAAATAAAATATTTCATTTAGAACATTTAATGTAAAATAAATTCTTTTATTTATAATGTTTAATATTTTCTACTAATACTTAACATATGCTATAATTGTCAAAAACCAAAATAGCATCCTCATTTTTTTCCTATTTCATTTTGTTCATTAAAAAAGTTTTTTTTTATAGAAAATGTGTCTGTATACGTAGTTTATGCTATTTCCGTATTTCATTCCTCCTAAAAAAGTTGAGGAGTATTTTTACTCTTCCAAAAAAATCCTAGGAATAATACTGGTCACATGTATGTTTAAAATTCAATTTATAATTTTTTTCCCTAAATTTTCCTCCAACTTCTGATTTTTACTGGCAGGTATGTTGTTGTATTCTTGCTGGAAAAAAAGTGATTTTTAATGGTTAGGGAAATGGGAATGTATTCTAAAATGATTCTAATGTTTTAAATTCAGTTTAGCATTGACTCATTTTTAATAAAGTATTATTTATTTCATCTTCTATCTTTTTTGTTCTTTATGTGATGTGACTGTATATATATTTCCTCTGATCATATTGAATATTGGAAGGTCTAATTTTATTATCAAGTTCATATAACAAAAGTGTATACTCTATTGCAAAAAAGTATATGTAATCAGAAAACATTGAGCCACATTTATGAAACACAATTTGAAAATGCGATTTTTCAAACTGTGTAAGTCATTAAACTTGCAGCACCACTCAGCATTGTGGAGCTGTACAGTGCGCGTCTGAAGTCCACATCTGGTAGAATATAAAATGGTATATGGAGTTTAAGACAAGCATTTACAATCACATTGATGGAGCTTGGATACAGGACAGTGTAACAGAAGATGCCTTTAACAGCATTACAAACAGCTGTCTAACTTCGAGTGGGTTTTCATCATAAGACCAAAAGATTGGTCAAACGGGGACGAGCCAGCATATTGGCTGAAATGGTATGGTTGTTGTTGCAACCAATGTCTCAGCAAAGGCATTGTAGTGGCTTGATATGTCCCTGAGCCACCACTGTGCGAGGGGATCATACAATTAGAATATCTGCAATTTCTGCACCAACAGTTAAGCTATCATCGATTCAGCATGGTTTGTTAACTCGCAGAGGAATTCCAGGTTATCCAGGCATATGATTCGCGGAAGTGATGCTCGACTCGGATCTCGATGTCCGGTGAGATGCTTGCCGTCGACACTCCACTTTAATCGGTATCCTCTTGCCTGGTGCCACCCTTGCTTTAGCTGAACAGTGACTGATTGGAGAAATGTGATCTTCAGCAACAAATTGTACTTTTCTTTCTATGCTGATGACTACCACGTATATGTCTGGAAAAAGGCGAGTGATCCAATTTGTAACTGAGCTGCGACACACAACCAGAACACATGTCATGACAGTCTGGGAAGCGGTCTTTGGGACAGCCATTCACCATTAGTTGTGCTGCAAGGTACTCTGACTGCTCGCAGGTACATTGAGGTTATTTTGCAGCTGATCGCACTGCCTGTGATAACAGGTTGTCCAGATTCTGTTTTCCAGCAGGACAATGCTCAGGCATATACAGCACAACTTTTTCAAGAATATCTTCATTGTATTAATGTCTTCAACTGGCTTGCCTGGTCTCCAGACCTGTCACTTATCGAACACATTTGAGACATGTTAGGCAAGCAAATTCAGCCATGTACAAATATGTCCCAACTTACTGACCGTTTGCTCCATTTATGGCACATTCCACTGAGGACACCATGCCCAACCAAGTATTGGCTTGTATAGCAGCCAGGGTAGTATTTACCATTTACTGATTTTCATATTCTTTGTGTTGCTACTTGTAAGTAAAATGCTTCCCCCCTCCAGTTTTTGATAATTTGTGTATACTTGAACACTATACTACCGCCGAGTTTCATAGTTTTGGCTCAATTCTTCCTTGGTGCATATTTGTTTTTTTTTTTTTTTTTTTTTTTTTTTTTTTTTTTTTTTTTTACTGCAATAGAATGTATTATTAAAAATTTGATAAAAATGCATATGAAAATGCTGCATAGTTTTATAATTAAATAGAAATTTAAAAAATAACATTAAGTAATTAACAATATCAAATATAATTAAGACACAATAACATGCCGAATAAATACTAATTCAGAAGTCAAACAACAAAAATCAGCGTTATATTTACAAAATTTTCACAGAACTAGTTTGGATGGTTTTACCGAACCACCATCTTCAGCTGCACCATTTGCGGTTTTGCAGCTGAAGCAGCATTTGCAGTTCCGCAAATCCATTTGCGGTTTTGCAGCTGAAGATGGTGGTTCGGTAAAACCATCGAAACTAGTCCTGTGAAAATTTTGTAAATATAACGCTGATTTTTGTTGTTTGACTTCTGAATTAATATCAAATATATCGTTTTCAATCAAAGATAGTGAAATAAAATGTTGTAAAGTATTAAATCTAACTTCTAAGTAATTTTTCGTTTAGTTTTGTATCAAAAACTCATATAAATGTAATTCATAATTTTTCTAAAAGGGGCTTTAGATATAATTGAGTTATTGCTTATTACTGCAACCTTCATTATTTGAACACAACTAAGATTATCTATTTCATTAAGGTATATTGCAAACCTTACCAAATGACCAGCAGTTCTGTCCATGGTCACTCAAAGTGTGCCTATCATGAGAAAAACTCCGAGTAGGCTGTATGTTATTATTGTATTTTCTTTTTCCAAGAAATATAATAATTTTTGATTTACTAAAGAGTGAGTAAGATACTTTATCATTCTTCCAACAAAGATTCATTTTACCTTCCCGTAGAGTATGCAAAAGTTGCTACAAAAAGGGCCACATTTTTAATAAGGGGACCATTAATACAAGGAAGTACCTGTAGTTATTTGTATTTTAAATTTAAGCATCTTTGAAATGTTTGTACTATATTTTTTTCTTTCGTGAATTAGAAGATTTTAAGATTTTTTTCCTTCATTTTTGTTCATTTCCTTCACTTTAATTTGTGATTGTGAAGGAAGTGGATTTGCTGCTGGCAGAGAATGTGCGGACTTATGTATGATTAATTTATCGTTTATGTTTCTTTGAAGGTTCGCTTTGTCACAAAAATATGGCATCCAAATATCAGTTCAGTTACAGGAGCAATCTGCTTAGATATTTTAAAAGATCAGTGGTGAGTTGCTTTTATCTCTCTCTCTCTTTTGTTTTTAAATATATATTTTCCAAATTAACTGTGACCAAAAAATAATATGTTGTGTTCTATTTAAGGGCTGCTGCAATGACTCTGAGGACAGTGTTATTATCTCTTCAAGCTTTATTAGCTGCTGCTGAGCCTGATGATCCTCAAGATGCTGTAGTAGCTAAGCAGTATAAGGAAGATCCTGAAATGTTTAAACTCACTGCCAGACATTGGGCTCAAGCTTATGCTGGAGGTATGTGATTATCGTTAATAAGAAGTTGCTTTTGCTTATATTTTGTTTTAAAAGAAAGAAAAGTCTACATTTTTAAGCAAAGTAAAGATTTTTTAAATGTAAAAAGTGATACTTTCTGGTTAATGGAACAACATTCAAAAATTGTGTATTAAATGTGGTAATTAGCTTGTTTTAACTCCAGTAGTTTGTACTGTCTCATTTCAAATACAGGATGATCATCAATGTAGAAGTTATGACTCCAGATTATGACCACAATTTTTATTTGCTCTTTTTTTGTTGAAGTGCTTTATTCCCTCAAGAAAGAATCATTATGGATTATATGATTTTTGCATTATGTTCACAATACATAACTGTCAATAATTTAATATATTTTCCCCTCAGCATCTCATTCTTCATGAGTATGGGTATGACAAACCCGATGTGCCCTAGACCTTCAATGGATCACAATCCTGGAGCCGTAATGATTTTTTTTCCTTTCATTTTTATTTCTTCGTACCTTTTTTTTTTCCCCCCTTTTTCATCCTCTGTAATTTTTCTTTAGGAGGTTGGGGCTCAAAGTGAGATTCTGTTACATTTCTTTGTTTCTAGTTTCTTATATAGAGAAAACTGTGTACGCATTTGTTATGCTTTGTGATCCATAAGGCTGGAAAGGAGGGTCCTGGTAGTTGAATGGCAAAGTACTGTCCCCAACGCACTGCTTTGACCTCTACAAATTGAATTGATTCGAGTCATCAGAGGCTCAGCTTCTGCTAGTGTCAATTGAGTTAAACTTTCAGGAAAGCTGACTGTGGCATCAGACTGTGCGTAGGTCTAGTTAGCAGTGGCAGGTCTACTTCTCTTTGTCAGAAGTCATGGTGGCTTTGCTGGCAGGTCCAAATGTTTTTCTTTTCCAAATACCTCTGTCTCAAACATCGTTGTCACTACACTTCTTAATAATTTTTAAAAAGTTAAAAACAAATACAAATGCCAGTATTAATTCATGCACAAGTCAACCTCGTTTTGTAATTACTAATGACCCAACTGACAAGCCTATAATATTGTTGCTATTTTTATTTAATAAACATATACAAGTATATGAAGTTCAAGAAATGGCTGTGGTCCAGTTGATTGTCAGAACTCATGGTCCTGACCTTCAGTTTACCTGCTCTGCCCAACAGTGTTAAGGCCAGGTATCTCCACTGGCCAGTAAGACCATAATCCCTAACCCCATGTGATGTTTCCAGTGCCAGCAATTTTGCCGAAGATGTCATGCCATAAAAAACTTGGATTAAACAACAATCTTGCTCGTATAAAAGACTTACTTGACAAACATCCTGCCTGCTTTGTGACAGAAGAAACACCTTTGAAACCTAACCAACTGTTCAAGCTTCGGAGATACTCTTTTGTTAGGAAGGAGAAGATTTCTAATGACGATGTCAGCAGTGCTGTAGGTCTTCTTCCCTTGCTTATCTATCCATCTGGATGATTTAATAGAGTGGTTGCTTAAACCTTTTATCCTCCTAGGTAATTTGATGACTAAATCCTCTTTGGGGAAATAGAGATAAAAACCTGTATAGTAGACAAATCATTTAATGATTATTTGTTGTCTTTGTAATACCAAAGAGCAATCTCTATTCCACTAGTATAGGGATGGGCAAACTATGGTGCATGGTCCAATTCTGGCCTCCTCGACTTTGTTAATCAAAAATTTGTTAAAATTTTACAAATTATGAAATTGATAATAAAACAAATTCAAAATTTGGACTTCCAAATGCCCATATTTGCAGGGGAATTACGTTATTCAAAATTCAATAGTAATTCATAACTCAAATTCTCTGTACTGTTGTTTTATCACAGTATGAGAAACATATACACATTTCTCAGATTTTTCATTATTTAATTACTTTAAATATAATACAGGTGATAATATTTGGTGGCAACAATTTGAAAAGTGAAACAACGCTTGTAGTGAATCAACACAAAATGCCAAAACGAAATTAATGTTCCTTCTGGGGAAATTTCCCCTTTGGCCTAAATAAAATGCTTTGTTATATAATAACCTACTATAAAAAGCTGATTTACTTTTGTAATGTATTATACTTCTATTGCATATAAATTCTCAAAATTTGCTTGAGAATTAGGAAGTAAGTTTGCAACTTGAATATGTAGCATTTAAATCACCTTAGTTAATTTCAAAATAAATTTTACAGCTCCACCATTCCCTTCAGATTTTGATGACAAGATAAAAAGGTTGATGGACATGGGTGTTGATGAAGTAAGTAACTTGAACTTTTTTTAATTAGTTACTTTGTGTTCACCTGAAAATTGGAGGGGGGGAGGATAATCATCCAGTCTAGATTCATGTTTAAGATCTTATTTTCAATAAGGCTACTGGATGTTACACTTTTTCATGCAAGAATTATACAGTTTTAATAAACCAAATTTTTGTCTGTCTCTTTTCTCTAATGAGGAGAAATTATCTTTCATATACATTTTGCAATTAATTTAGTCTTCTCATTTAGGGTATTTTAAGAAGTTATTTAAAATTAGAAATGTGCAGGCACATTTGTATAATGTATGCTGTTTACTATTCATGAAGGTTTAATTGAGCATGTATTTTTATATAATGTAAAGGAAAGATTTATATGTATAATTGATGATAAAAATGTTTTTGTTCAGATGTCATAATGTTCACTGTGTTATGAAGACAGTGAATTATCACTATATCAAAGACCTCATATCTTTCACTGTATTTTGAAGACGTCATTGTGTTAAGTTTCAGTTGTCAAAGCCATGTATGTATGTTTTATAAAAGTTTCACAATGCCATCAACTATCTCCATATGTCGCATTTAAATATTCCCAGACCAGTAAAGCAGTATCCTCTGAAAAGGCTAAGAATATAAATGAAATGAATGAATAAGAAATATATAAGAATATGAATGAGAAAAGGGTCTAAATAACAGGGATATTTTGGCGTTATAATCGCAAAAATATTTATTCATCATTTTAGGAACCAGTCTCCAGTTATGAGGAGGACTAAGGCTGTTGCCCAATTGAAAAAATGTAGGTAAAAATGTCCTACTGGTAGAAGTCTGTTAATTGCTGCATAAAAAATCCATGCCCCTTTTTTTTACGCCATCATCCAAAAAGAACTGATGTCTTTTCAGAAATTCACATATTGAGTGATCTGGGTTATAATTAAAGTTTTTCTATCTAAGGACATCTTCATTTTTGCTTCATGGCTTTGGCAACATGAGAGTGTGCACTGTCAGAGATTAAGATGACCCATTTTGAAAAGTTGCGTTTCACAGTGCATATAAAGATTAGAACTCATCTGTTCAAATCCTTTGGAAGGGGAAAAAAAAAAAAAAAAAACAGTTGCACATGTTGATGAAATCCATCCAGTTATATAAGTCGAACAGTCAAAGCGTAGTCACAGCATAAATACAAAAAAAATTTTAAACACACATTTGGGTGCATTTGATAACAATGGTGCCATCAGTACATCTGTATACTGTACTAAATACTTTATTTAATTATGTGCTTTAAAAAACTGTTGGAAAGAAGGTACACACAACCATAGCACTCTTAAAAGCTTTTTTTCAACTACTCTATGTAAAATCACAATAAAAACCTTGTATTTAGCATACATATATTAAAACACTCAATCGATTTCGAGGGCAGCTAAAGCTCTCTCCTCATCAGGAGAACAAAATTACTAGAAATGGGGAAAAAAGAAGAAAAATAAAGCATCGGCAAAGGAGTCTCGGAAACACATAGTCGTTATCAGCATTGCACGTGGTCGTAACCAGATTTTGAATCAGAGTTACACTGGCCACCTACTTTTACTGAGCCAGGCTATCTGATCAAACATATAACACATAGACTAAAACGCAAAAAAATCAGCGAAGTCAAAAAATAGAGAGCGAGGGGCAACTGCACCTTCACGCACCAAGTCTGAACCTCGAAAAAAGCCAAAGTGGCTTTAACCACGTGGCTGATAACGACATGAGTTGTTTTGAAAAAAATGAAAAATTAAATTTTTCTTCGGAAGCAAAGGACCAAAAAGTTATTAATGCAGAATGACTGTTCTCTGCCTTTTCACTGGAGCACAACCTGCCACTGAATGCATCGGATCACGCTGCAGCTTTATTTAGAAAAATGTTTCCCCAATAGTGAAATCGCTAAGAAATATTCAAGTGCAAGAACCAAAACAATTGTTAAAAGAAATGGGTTTGAAAAATAAATCTTCAGTTATTGATTGCATTAAAACAGCTCCGTTCTGCCTCTCTATGGATGAAAGCAATAATACCGATTCAAAACTGTATCCAATTGTTGTTTCTTTTTTAATCCAGAGTCTTCAGAAATTGAGTGCAGTTTACTTTCTGTCCCCACTTTAGAAGAACATTTGACAGACTTTAATATAGCACAGCTAATTATTAAACTTTTAAAAGAAAATGCAGTCTCTCTGGATAATTACTTAGCACTTGGTGCCGATATGCACCAGTATTGGTAGGCTTGGAAGACTGTCGTTGGTGGCATCCTAAGAAAGGAAAATTCAGATTTGCAGATTATGAGGTGCACCTGTCACCTCTTAAATTTAGCAGCTGAAAAAGGGGCAGCTTCTTTACCAATAAATGTGGATGAATACATTGTTGATATTTATTATTATCTTGAAAGTAGTCCTTCCTTTTCCTTCAATTTTTCCTTCCTTTTAAGGAAAGAAAAATTGAAACAGTTCCAACAGCTGCATAACAGCAGTTTACAATTAGAAAACTTGGATGAAGTTATAAAATCAACTAGGATTGACACCCAGTGCAGTTTAATTGGAAAACTGAAAGGTGCTGATGGAATTTTAAAATATAGTGAACTGTCTAGAATTATGTTGGCCATCTTGACAGTTCCTTATAGTAATGCAGAGTGCGAGAGGATTTTCAGTGTTGTTGCGAAACCGAGGACTAAATTTAGATCTAATATTAGTGATGACACATTAGAAAAACTTTTATTAGCGAAAGCAGGCCTACGTGGCAATTGCTATGAACAAAATTTCTTTAAGAAACTTCAAAATAGCTTCATAGGATAACTTCTTAAGAACATAAGATAACTTCATAAGATAGATAAGATAACTTCATAAGAAACTTCATAAGCAGATTCTGCCACTGTTTATAACATTTGTAACTGATTAAAGTGTCCTTTTTGTGTGTGTGTGTGTGTGTTTTTTTTTTTTTTGTTTTGTTTTGTTTTGTTTCCTTAAACGATGCAAGTAATAAAAATGTTTTTTATGTGTAAGGTATTTTTGTGTTGCTTGCATTTAAGAATTAGTTACTATTTAAAGTTAATTCATTATTAAAAACTATATTTTTATAATTTAAAAAGTCTTTTTAACATTGTGAAAAATCTCCTGATTTTTGAGTGTCATAGGTTGGCAAGTATGCTGTTTATATATACAAGGTCCGGCTATTAATTTCCAGGACTGCCGTAACTGTAGGAGAACAAAAAGTCAGAAGATGGTGCTAATGATTGCATATTGAAGAGCGTTTTCTTGCGCATGTGCAGTGCAATTGGCGCCATTCTGAAGTAAGTGGTTCTCGTGGAAAGGTGCATTAAAACGTAGCTCTTAAATTCTTGTTGTTGAAGTGAAAATAGAAGAAAGAATTAACATTAAATTTTGCTTCAAATTGGGCAAGACAGCTGTGGAAACCTACGAAATGTTAAAACAAATTTACGGCGAGGAAGCGTTATTGCGCTCAAGAACTTTTGAATGGTTTAAACGCTTTCGGGACAGGCGCGAAAGCGTCGAAGATGATCCACACACAGGTCGACTGCAGTCCGTACGCACGCCGAATGCAACTGAAAAAGTTTGCGATATGGCGAGATGTAATCGTCGATTGACTATTCGAGTACTCGCCAATGAATTCAACATGGACAAAGAGAACAGTTCGTCGAATTTTGACACAAGACCTAGGCAAACGTAAAATTTTTTCCAGATTCTTTCCTCACCATTTAAGGGACGAACAAAAGCAATTGAGACTCAACGCATGTGGCGAACTTATCGACAACGCTGATGCTGACCCTGCGTTCCTGGATAGGATATTCACGGGAGACGAGTCTTGGTGTTATCAATATGACCCTGAAACGAAGCGTCAAAGCTCCGAATGGTGGTCTCCAAGTTCACTAAGGCAGAAAAAATTTTGATTTGAAAAGTCCAAAATCAAGGTCATGTTAATCGCTTTCTTCAATTGCGATGGGCTCATTCATCATGAATTTCTTCCTCCTAACATGACTATCAATGGACAGTTCTACACAGAAGTTCTCAATCGACTTCGAAAACGAATTCGTAGAGTTCCCTAATTTTCAACAAGATGGGAATTGGCTGCTGCTACATGACAATGCCCACCCACAGATTGTGTTGCCTGTGAGGCGATTCTTAGCCCAGCGTGATGTCGTGTAAATGCAGCAACCACCATACTCTCCAGACCTAGCACCAGCAGACTTTTTCCTGTTTCCGAAGCTGAAGGGAACAAGACTTCAGGATGTCGAAGCCATCAAGAAAACTGTAACGTCACTATTAAAGAGCATTCTCAAAGAGGACTTCTTTTCGAAATTTGTACAGCCGAGCACAGACCTGCATTATGGCTGATGGGCATTACTTTGAATCATATTAAATGGCTATGTGTTTAACCTTTTTTTCTTCCGAGTTATTCCATGAGTCCTGAAAATTAATAGCCGAACCTTGTATATAAATATATACGTTTTGTATTTGTACTGTGTACTATTGTACACAGTACAAATTATTGTACACATTACAATTATTGGTTGAATATTTTTTCTTTATCTCTGCCTAAGCGCTTTTACCTAGAGAGGCTTTCTATATTTGAAATAAAAAAGAACAGGAAAACAATGTGAAGAATTTTAGGATGATTTAGTGTTTGTAGGCCTATTCCTGTGGGCTCAAGAGCATAATTGAGCCTCGAGTGAGGCAATCATTATACACACACAAAAATCTGTGTTCATTTTCACCAATTTGTAATATGTAATTTAATTATCATGTGTCAGTATGAAGAGTTATATGGCATAGATTTTACTTGAAATTCAAGTAAGGATATTCTGGTTCTTTTTTCTTTTTTCTTTTCTTTTTTTTTTTTTAATGTTAGTGTTTGTTTATTAGTAATAGTGTTTCGTCTTTTGTAGTTTGCTAGTGATATGAGCTGTTATGAATTATTAAATTTGAAGTATGAAATAGGTAATTTTTTTAAAGTCTTTTTTTTTCTTGAAAATACCTGCTAATATGTAGTATTTATTTGGTACATCAATTGCTAGATCTTGTAAATTCATAAAAACATAGAAATATTGATATTTCAGCATAAAGTACAAAAATTTAAAAATCATTTTTCGAAGAATATAATAATGATATTCAAGATGATTGGCTCATATGTTTTTGATTAATGAATTGGTGAACAATTTTTCAGATATCAAAAGCTGCATTAAAATACTAAGATATTCATAGATCATATATATACTATATAATCGATACTGAAACTGTTTGCTTTAGAGAGGGTCACAAACTGATTTTATTTTACAAGTTTAACTTTTGATATCCAGCATGATATACTGTAGAATCTGCTTGTCGGTTATAATTTGAGCATAGAACTGAAAAAATTAAAGCAGGGTGTGAAGTTAAGTCAAATATGAAATGGGGAGTAAACATACAAACCGTTTAAACAATTCAAAGAAAATCTGGAAGTTTTCCTAAAAAGTCAAGAAAGTTAAAGAAAATAATGTCCTCTAAAAAAAAAATCTTTTTTAAAAAGTAACTTATAAATATGTGTTAAAAGAAAAGCAAATAGAGTTACTATAATTATTGCTTTTCTCGCAGAAAGTATTTTACACTATTAACTCTTATTTGAAATAGTGTCGTCAATCCATAGCCCTCTTCTCCACTTTATAGTGTATTGTTTTTCATGCTTCTCTTTGCTATTTTTTTTTTCAAATAATGCAAATTACCAGTATTGGCAGTTAGTCTGTATCGTTATAACTATTAACTGAAAGAAAAAAAGAGAGAGAATTACTTATGGGACTCTTTAGAGAGGAATGTGTTTGTTGAAGAGTTTCAGTGTGAATCTGGCCACAAATTTATATAATGCTTGTTATATGCAATTATAACAACAAGATTTTAGAGAAGACTATGAAATTACTGATACAGCTAATGTACTTGACTTCTTTAATACAAACCTGATATTAAACTGCTGTATCCCCATGAATGTCTTGAAACTTTAGTTTGCTTCTACCATATTAAATTTCAGTACATAAATTACTTTTTTATTTCAGTTAATCATATTGTTTACATTTTCTTGTAATTTCCTGAATTTTTGTTTAATTCCCCATTAACCTTTGGCTTGTTCGTTTATGAGTCGATAGAACCAGTCCAAACCATTATTTCCTGTGTTTGCCTTTCCTTTGAAATGTAAAGACTCTTTCTTTAGAGAAGAATCTAATTGCAAATAAAGACTTACCACAAACAAAAAACGATTTATGTAAAAGAAAGCCCGTACAAGAATTTCATCCTTTTTAATACTTTAAAGATATCCAGGCATCAGTTTGAAAAAGTTACATTAATTGGATTTGGTTAGTGAATCACTCACTATAGTCTTGACTTTTTCACATATATTGTATGCATTCCTGCTTTATTTCAAATTATTGATAATAATTCTCTTTCATTGAAATATTTCGAAAAGGATTGCAATTCGTTCTTTCATGTGTATAAAACTGTGATAATAAATGAAAAGAAAGCTGAAACAGTCTTGATAACCTTTTCACAGCTGCTATTGCCTAGTTTATTCAATATCAATAAATGAAGATAAAACAGTTGTTTTTCCCCTCTTAATCATAAAACTTCTCTTTATATTTATAGAATAATAAGTTCTTAGGGGTTAAAGTTTACATAAATATGTGCTGTTACCCTTGAAGCAATCATTGTTGTAAAAGTAACTATTACTAAACAAATGTTTGAAGTACAAGTAAATCATGCCAAAAGAGTTGTTCAGTGCATTATCCACAACATAATTTTTTTTCATTGAAAATCAGCTATGATTGTTGTTTGAGTTTCATTTAAAAATCAAACTTAAAATACAATGGCTTTATTGAACCTAGTGTTTAATGATTTTCTTTTAATTGTTCTTACAAGTCAAGGTTGCCAAAATATGTGATATTAAATCTTTTCAATTAGCTGCTTTTGGATTTCTCATATTAATTCACATTGTTATATATTTTTTTAAAAAATTTTTGGTATTTTTTTTTTAAATAAAAAATACAGATTTTTATAATCTTTTATTAGTATAGTAAGCCTTTAGCTATTATTATCTTAGTGACTTGCGCTACAATTTTATTCGCTAAATTCATATTTTCTTAATATGAATTTTGGTTGTAATAAATAGATGTCATACAATGCAAAGTCCAAAATCTGGGTGGCCAATATCTAGAATGATCTAATATTAAAACTAGCAGCCAAAATAAATAAATGAATAAAATAACAAAAATTCCCCATTCCCATTACAAAGTCTAGGAATGGTTAATGTAATACATTCACTTTCAAAAGTTAAGCACGAAAATGTAAAATGCAAAAAAATCAACAAATACTGCTTTGATTGATACAAAATTCGGCAGGAAAGTAGCATTCTATATTTATGCATAAAACAAAATCAAGAATTATATACAGAAATGAAAACAATATTAAGTTTTTGTAAGTTACCAGATAATGACATACTGGAGATTTAAACAGATTTATGTATAAAGTGAAAATAAACAGCATAAAATGAAAAAAAAAAAAAAAAGGACATTAATAGGGTGTGTGATCTCATCTCCTCATCTGTATACAAAGTTTACACCTTGTGACCATGCCTTTCAATTAGGTGGTCAACCACTGCAGCATTAAGCAATCACCATTCTTCTTGTAGATCAGTTTCCAGCTCAATAAGAGTGGCTGGAGGTGGGAAATTTGAAGATGCAGCACAGCTGAGAGCATCCCAAAGATTTTCAATGGAATTAATGTCGGGCGAATATGCTGACCATGCCATACATGCAATCCCTTCACTCTCCAGGTAGTAATCGACGATGTCAGCTCTATGGGGACGTGCATTATCGTCCATTAAAACAAAAGTAGGGCCAAATGCTGCAGCGTACAATCTCACGATGGGTTCTAGGACTTCATCTTAATACTGGACAGCCGTCAAAGAACCCCGTTTAAAGATGTGCAGGCTGGTGCGGTATCCTAATGAAATCCCTGCCCACACGTGATGTTCGGTGATGTTTTGGGTCTGATTGCGTGTTCATTGTTCATGCTATATCCTTATACGCTTGTCATCTGGCTCCGGAGCAAATCTTGACTCATCAGTAAACATGACATTGCCCCAGTCAAACACATTCGAATTGACATGTTTCTGGCACCACTGTAATCGTGCCCCTCTTGATTGGACGGATAGAGGAACACAAACTCTATCCATCCAGTCAAGAGGGTGTACAGTCCACTCATACGTAATCTTCAGCGTACAGTAGCTGCAGATATTGCCTTACCAATAAACGCTGTAACCATACATGTCACACGTGTGGAGGTCGCTCTGCGATTCCATTTGGCTACAATAGCAATATATTGATCTTCCATGGGGGTTGTAACCCTTGGGCAACCGGCTACGGGCCTTTGGACAACTGTCTGTGTGGTTTGAAATTGTTTCCATAAACGTGAAATTGCAGAATGATGAATGCCGAAGAAAAGAGCAACATCTGTGATTAACTGTCCTGCTTCAATGCACCCCACAGCATGCCAGCGCTCAGAATTTTCCATTCGTCTTCTGAAGTCATAGAAACATGTATGTCTTGAAAACAAATTGTACGAAAGTTTTAAACACCTTCTATCAGCACTTATAATCAACTTCTGTAACCCTTCATAAAGCTGGCTTCTTACAAGACTGCCTTTTTTGTATATTTCTTGACATGAAAGTGCGATTGGCTGTTACCTAACATATTTGCATACTTCCATCTACCTCTGCAGCGAATTGCATCCTCTTCAAATATGACTGGCTTCTGGAAATTAGCATTTTCCTCTCCGTGCTTAACTTTTGGAAGTGAGTGTACAAAAGAAAAGGAAGCAGGTGTGTCGTAAATGTGATTTTTTGTTCTGACTAGCTGAGATTCTTGGGTGTCGCTTTCCAACAGTTGCTATCCAGGGAGTCCTACCACGGCTAATGATAATATAGTGATTGACGTTGTGTTGATGTTGGCCATATCACACTTTTGACCCTTAAGTGGCTGTAGAAGGTTAGCATTTTTCATCTGATTTAAAGAATAAGTGAAGCTCAAATGTTGCCATGTCTAAATGCTGTGTTACTAGATTTAAAGTATTGATTAAATCTGGGAATTAACAAAATCCAGAATTGCCAAAATACTGACAATTGATATACCAATAGTTTGATCTCAAATTTTAAATTGTGTTAAAAACTAGATACTGGGCACTAATATTGTGTGCAGCCAAGAGAGATTCATATCTCAAAATAATTTCTGTGATTTGTGTATGTGCATGTTCGATAAGATTTTTCCTTACACAGATAACCAAGTCATTTGGAGGGGGGAGGAAGAAATTGAGTCATTTCAGTGCTTTAATTGACACACTTATTAGATTTAATTAGCTTCATTGAAGAAACAAGCATATTAATATATTGATAAATGAATATATATTGTGCAGATTGTATCCCATCCTGTTTAAATGGTGTTGATAACTGGATGGTTGCGAAGAAGATGCAGTCATGGCGATGTTGATATGCTTCTTTAATCTTGCGTATCATTCTCAAAATTATACATAGCTAAATTTGTAAAACATGTATGCCTAGTATTTCATAGTAATAAACATGCATTCACATAATTAACATTTCAGTAGGTAATGAAGAGAAACAGTATATTTTAGTTCTACAAATCGAAGTATGAGAAGATTGTACTTTTGACATTAAATTAAAAATGGTGCAGTTATACAGGATGATTCAAAACTCCACTTATGTATTACTTTGAAGGATGGTAGAGAACATCAATATGAACCATATTCACATAGAAAAAAAATGGTGAAAACCACTTCATGAGATCGATGTTGGAAAGAACTAGACAATAGCCTTGAAGCCCCCCCCCCCACACACACACAGAGAAAAAAATGGATGCCAGATAAAACAGGTGAATGGGTGTGCTAGGTCCTTCATGTTAATCTGGAGTGCTTGTATACAGCACCAGCACCACCTATCCATTTCCAGTCTTGCTTTGCTATTTGAATATGGGTCATATTGATGTTCTCTACCTTTACTCAAAATCTGCGATATCCTAAACATTTAATTTCTCAACAGAAGGCATAGTTTCACTTTTTTTGCTATTGGTTTAATTTAATTACAATTGGATAAAAGATTTTACTTTTCATGTTTGCTATTATATAAGTATGTATGTCATATCCATTTCCAGTCTTGCTTTGCTATTTGAATATGGGTCATATTGATGTTCTCTACCTTTACTCAAAGTCTGCGATATCCTAAACATTTAATTTCTCAACAGAAGGCATAGTTTCACTTTTTTTGCTATTGGTTTAATTTAATTACAATTGGATAAAAGATTTTACTTTTCATGTTTGCTATTATATAAGTATGTATGTCATTAATGTCTCATAACAGTTATATGATAGAGATTAATTTTGAAATGACATCCTTCGAAAAGGTTTATTATAAACATGTGAATATTTTTTATGATAGAAAAGAGAAATAAGTAAATTAGAAGGGATATATGAATATATTTCTTTTATTTTAATATATTAATTGTTGCCTTTTCTTTGTTTTGAAATTATTTTTTTTTTTTAATTAAATGGGAATTTACATTTTGGTTTCTTTACTTGCATAGAACTGTATGCCTTTATTATTAATATTGATTATCTGCATTTTTTAGCACAAAGCTCGTGTGGCCTTATCTTCTTGTTCCTGGAACCTGGAGAAGGCAACTGAAACACTGTTCAGCTAGGTCACCATTCATTTCATTGACAACTGAATTAACTCTGTGCACATGCCATCTAAAATTCTCCAGATTATTGGTTGACAAAATTTAGAAATAGTATGTTATGTAACAAAATGTGTTTATTTTCAAGTTTAAAGACTTTCTAATGAACGTTCATTAATGAATAAATTGCTATATCTTAAATTTTTGCAATGCCTGCTGTTATTATAATTTGGTTGATTTTGATGGCAGATAATTCAAAAGATGTGGAATTCTAGCTTAATAAACATCAACAGTTGTATAAAATGTTAATGCCAAGATTGGTTCTCAGAATGAATAAAATTATTTGATTTCTTGATTCTATAAGTAATTGTCTTTTTTTGTGCCCTTTTTTGTAATGATTATTAACACATGCATTAGTAAAACTTTCTCACTAGAAATTTTTATTTTAAAATTTCTGTTTAGTATTTGAGAATGTTGGTTTTGAAGTTATGAATGTTCAAAACTCCCTTATCATAATTATTATTTTTTTTTCCCTTCTTGACTGAGCATTCAAGTTTTGAAAAAATAATCAATTAAGCTTTTTAGTGGATTGTATGCATATAAAATACAGATGAACTTTCAATAGATAAATTAAGAATTTAAGCTTAAGGGAAAGAAGAACTTGGATATTTTTTTAAAATAAATGTTTGAAGTTTTATGTGTTTTCCAGCATTCCTTGTAGTAGCTATTGTGTAAGGAATTATCACATTCCCTTGATGGTATAAGTGGTTAACTTGTCCATCAAACATGTGTATGTCTGTGTAACTCTTAATGGTTTGTTAAAATATTCATTTCATTAACCCTCTGAGCGGCCAGGGTTTTCGCTAAGAAAGCACAGATTTCCCAAAACTACTATGAGAACAAATTATTTTTTTGATTTTAATGTAAAACACTCCTGGTATTTCATACCTGGATTTGTTTTCTTTTGATATATTGCCTTAATTTCTTTGGCATATTTTAATATGTACGTATATATACGTTCTTACAGATATCACAAAAAATATTCTAGGCCGTAATATAAACGGCCTTGCCGCTTAGAGGGTTAAATGCAAAAAATATCAATACCTTTTTTTCTTAATGTTTGTGATTTTATTATTTTTATTTCCCACACTTTTTTTTCCTGCATCTTTTTGAATTAATAATCTCTGTATGCTTGGTTAATGAAAATTCAGATTTGGTCATTATTTCTAAAAGAGTTCACTGTATCTAAAGAGGCACTGTTGTTTCAGCCATGTTTTAAAGGCACCAAAAATAATCTAGTTTTTTTTTTTTTTTTTATATTCATAACTTGATTTTCTAAAACCAGATATTTGGTTTTTATATTATGTAGTTTCTTAATCTATAAAAACACCAGGCTGTATCCAATAATGAAATGAAAATCTGAACAATTTTGGAAAAATTATTACGAAAACTTGATGTCTTCGTATATTTATGTAAATTAATGTATGTAATTCTTTATTGATAACCTGTTGCCATATTACTTCTACATGCTTCAAGCATGGAAAAAAAATTATGTGAATTATGCTTAGAAAAATTGAAGAGTTTAATATGTGGAATTTAAATATAAATGCTAGTTGCTAGCAGGGTTGTGATGACAAATTTTAATACCTAAGGCAAATTTCTAGTTCTGCTTTTTTTAATATTTTCATCATCATCCCATTAAATATTAATTTATTATGTTTTAATTTTGTATTATTTTTACTGGTTGAAATTCAGTTGGTAGATTGGTAAACATAAAATTCATTTGTATACTAATTTCATGTTTACAGATTTTAACTAACATGCAGACAATTTTTTACTTCATAGATGTTTAGTATTCATGTATGTCAATTTACAAAACATCAATTGGATAGTATTTTATTTTATAGTTTGCTGTCAGAAATGAAAAAAATCTACCTTGCTACTTCAATATGAGTTTGATCCCCCCTTTTAAGGTTTTACAACATCTGTTTTTATAATGCATTTTTTTAATCAGGAAATTTAATTCTGTTTTTAATATTATTGTAAAGAAAGTATGGTGAAATTTTAGGGACTGGTTAAGATTTATACTTTTGCTAATGAATAAATAGAGGAATTTTGTTCTTCATGTTACTGAAACCTGTTCTATCGTTTTATCTAATTTACTCTGCTTATATAAAGCTTTTAGTTTGAAATCATGAGATAGACTTTTTTCCCATGCAAGAATACAAAAGTGTTGACAGCAGATGTCATGAATTTATTATTAGCCACATGCCATCTTTATAATTTTCAGATTGTAATAATGTATTATTTATCAGTGTAACAAAGATTTTCATGTCTGGTGGCAAAAAGATTGTTAATAAAATATCTGCCTGTTGAAAAGCTGTTTCACTATTATTTGTAAGTATTAAGTTATTTACATTATATTTTCTTCTTAAGTCTCTTTCCCATTTTTTATTAGCTCAGTCTGTTGAAAACGGAGAGAGGAAAATTACCTCTTTTGTGAAAATTATTTTACCTTCATTTGATGTTCTTAACACAATTCTGCAGTGCAGAATTCCATTAATTCATGTTTTGCAATCAGTCATATATTTAAAGACATTTAATCAAAGTTTGTAAAACTAATCTTTGTTTTGTTTTCTAATTCTATGTTTCATATGATTTATGAACTGATAAGTTTCAGTATGATTTATGAACTGAAAAGTTTTGCATTATGCAGTTAGGAAACTTAGATAAAAAATAAAATGAGCATGGTTTGACATACATTGGAGTTCATTTGAAAAACTGAAAGGTGCTGATGTAATTTTACATTACAGTGAACTGTCTAGAATCATGTTTGCCATCTTTATATTTCCTCATAGTAATGCAGAGTGCAAAAGGATTTTCAGTGGTATTACTAGAACAAGAACTAAATTTAGATCCAGTTTTAGTATTAAATGTTTATTAGCAATAGCAGGCCTATGTGGCAACTGCTATATAAACAAATTTTAAAATTTCTTCCTTAATGAAAATCTGCTACTGTTCTTAGCATTTGTACAATAACTGATTAAAATATTTTATATATTATACAAATATGTATATTTATATTATTATACAAATAATAAGACTGTTTTTTTAACATGTCAGTATTTTATACACTCAAGAGCCAAAACATTATGACCACTTGTTAATAATGAGTTGGGCCACCTTTGGCGCGCAACACAGCTTCAACCCGCCTTGGCATGGATGCCACAAGTCCTTGATAGATGGCCAGAGACAGATTGTACCAGATGTTGTAGCAGCGGTCACGCAAATCCCAGATGTTGCGAATTGGTGGTCTTTGACCTCTGAGCTGCCGTCCCATGACATACCAAATGTGTTCTATCGGATTGAGATATGGTGAGATAGGCGGCCAGGACATTAACTGGAAATAGCATCATGTTCCTGGAACCACTCCAACACAATTGTAGCCTTGTGACAATTGTGTTGGACGGGGCATTGTCCTGTCGGAACATTCCATTTCCAGCTGGAAAAATAGAGGCCATGTAAGGGTGCAACTGGTCCGCAATGATGTTCAGATACCCTGTAGCATTCATGGTCTGCTCTACCACAACCACGGGTCCCAGAGATGCCCAAGAGAACATCCCCCAGAGCATAATACTGCCACCACTGGCCTGTGTATGACCTACTGTGCATTGAGAGAGTAACTGTTCGCCTGGAAGAAGGCGTATCCTGACACGGCCATCGGCGTGATGAATGACAAACTGTGATTCATCTGACCGGGCAACTCTCTCCCACTGATCCATGGACCAGTCACGATCTTCCAGGGCCCAGTGCAGGCGGCAATGACGCTTGGTCAGCAAAGGCACACGAGGGGGATGTTTGCTGCATAGCCCTATATCCAACAGTGTCTGCTAAACAGTGTGCTCCGATACTTTTCTACTTAGCCCTGCATTGTATTCGGCTGTCAGCTGAGCCACTGTATGGCTCCAGTTTTGCTTCACCATGCGAGACAGTCTCCGACGACCTTTTCTTTGATAGCGTGTGGACGTCCAACACCATGTCGTCTACTGCTGGTTTCACCGTCATTCATCTACTTTTCATACATACTAACAACTGTAGATCGCGAACAACCCACGAGTTGTGCAGTTTTGGAAATACTTGTTCCGAGCCTTCAAGCCATTACAATCTGCCCTCTATCAAAGTCGCTTATATCCGCAACCTTTCCCATCACACACAGGAGTAAGTGAAAGAATAATTCTTCAGAGTCTCCAGCAGCAGTTAAATACCACTTCCACCTGATCATGTGCCTTCCATGTCATCCAGGTGCGTTCATCGCAAAATGTAGGGCTGGTCATAATGTTTTGGCTCTTGAGTGTATTATCATTATAACCATTTTATACTGTTTGCATTTTGAAAATAAGTAACTGAATTTTCGAATATTAATTAGTTACTATTTGAAGTTAATTCATTATTAAAAATATACTTTCTTTCTTTAAAAGATAAAAAGCCTGTTTTTATCATTTAAAAAATCTTTTTATCGTTAAGAAAATTCTGATTTTTTAATGTTGTAGATGGCAAGTATGTACATGTAAACTGGCTATGTGTAACTGACTAAACAAAATGGTGATAAGTATGCTTATTGAAAAAGCTTAGGTCAAATAGTGAGTCTTTTGCTGCACTCTAATAATTATATCTACCTGTCAACATTTTTTCCTTGCAAACTGTCCTTGAGTAAAACCAAGATTATATTCAATTTGCCCACATCATAAAACTTCCTCATCTCAGATATGCCAGTTTTGCAATGCTTAAGACAGATTTGTCAGATGCTGGAAGGCTGGGTTCTAAAGGTATCACATGTAATGAGCTTACAGAATGGATGGTAATAACCATCCATTCTGTAAGCTCTGGCATAGTTAGAGGGAGTGGTCCACCTCAGATGGCAGAATTTTTCATGTGAAACGTATAATAAGGGTAAGTCATATGAATCTTTGGAGCAGAGAGAATAATTGAGATTTATTGGATTATGGCAAAGTTCACTACTCTTATCGGATTAAGCAGTGATGTAACTAGAGTGGCACAGCATCCGGGGGGGGAGCTAATTGATGTTAGGAAATTTTAGAATTAAATGTTTTCCATTCTTGGCAAGCAGGAGGGGTGTGAAATCTTCAGTTGTTCCCGGGCAGTAAAAACTCCTATTTAGGCCTCTATGGTTAAGAGATAAGATGTCTTCATGGAGGACTAAAATTCACAGCAAAAGGCTTAAAAGGGCAACTGACTGCGATTTAAGTCATGCAAGTCTGAATATAACATTACACAGTCTGTGTTCAATTAAGGCAGCCAGCCCGTTATCTGGGGTGTGAAGATTTGATCCCATGTTGCATTACCATTATTCAACTATCTTATCCACTGGCTTATTGATAGGGTGAAGAAACATGAGATTCTGAATGGATACAGAATTGTTTTTACCAGTGGAATTAGAGAAAGACTTTACTTTCGTGCTATGCCTTACTTACTTCATAGAAACCTCTGAATGAAGAATGTGAATAAAATAAATTGTGATCTTAATGACATAAATTAAGAAAAATTCCTTACCGAGAGAGAATTACCCAAGCAGTAACAGTTTCATTTGTGTTACTGCTTGGAAAGATAAAACAGAGACATGGAAGATCATTTTGAACTTTAGTTGTTTAATCTAAAATTCAGTCTTCAGAAAGCAGTTCCAAATATTGTAATACAACCGCGAATATTTCTCACAACTGTTGTAAGTATTGTGAAAGGTTTTCTACGTACAGATCAGTTAACAAGCACTTAAGAGTTAAAAATATGTAACTCATATTTAATAAACACTGTACTGTATGAAATAGAGCAATTGGACTAATGAAAAAACTTAAAATATCATCGGCGATTGTGCTAGCATGGGGAAAACCACTTTAAAATATTGGAATTAAAATTTTATTACAAAATTTAACACAGTTTTTATTTACTTCCCAGTTTTGGAGAGAAAATAATTCCACTTCATTTACATTTTATAGATTTCTTTTTTAGTGTACGTTAAAAGGGCAAAAACTGTCAGCAAGTTGTAGGTAAAATTCTAAGCATGTAAAATCTTGTATATTTTATTAAATATATAGTGTAGAAATAAAAAAGTGGTAAACTAATATGTAAGTCATCAGCTTACCCGGAATACAAGAGAGAAATATAGAAAGAATTTTAAGGAAGATTTTAAAAATGAACTATTCAAATTTGAAAGACTTTGGAGAAACAGTAAGGAAAATTATAAATATGAACAAAGATAGAATTCAACACTGAGACTCGTATTATGGACTTTTTTGTGACCCAGTTTGTGATGCTGATTTCTGTACCGATTGGCCTGGGGCCGAATGCCAGAGAAGGCATGAATCTTTGTAAGCATGTAGTGTCTGTGCGGCAGGGCGGCACTCAAAATATGAGTGATAATACATACACGAGCCGAAATCCTCTCGAGAAGTTGATGGTAGGAGAAGAGGAGTGGGAGACCTCCGGGTTTTCTCATTCAGAATTTCATTTGGAACGGAACTTTATTAGTTAGCAAGGCCTGGTAATGCTCATATGTCTAGATGGATGCACAAGTGCTCAGCTGATAGTTATGTATTATTAGAAAAGCAGTAATGAATGCCTTTTTACAAGTTGAATGCATGATCTAGGTCGTGTCGATATTGACTAAGCATTACATATTGTATAAGATCCTAAAGAGAATGTATGGGTTAAATACATCTAAAAAAAAACAATTTTTATAGCTTGTTAAAAAATATTTCATCGTTTCTGTAGTATATATGTGTTTCTGAAACATAAAAATGCATACTCGTGTAACACTCTAGATTATAGGTAATGATAAAAAAAAACGTTGTATGTGTGGGTAGAAAACGTAAAAAAGGGGTGGAAGAGATCATTTCTTAACGGAAAAAGACACCGAATGCTGTTGCAAAAATCCTCGATACATCTGTGCATTATTAGTTCCATCATTCGAAAGTTATCATATTAGAAAAATAAATGAAAATTAGTCGGAAATTAATTTCTTGCTTCATACAGTTTGAGTTGAATCCTTCAATCTGTCTGAGGAAGATTCTGTGCCCGTTATCTCTAAGCAAATGAGAAGATGACTTATTACACCAAATCACCATTTGCATAAGACTTCTTATCCACGAATATACTAATCTGCGCTTATAAATACGCTCCTTTTATTGAAATGGGGAGGCCACTAGCGGCCGAGCGGTAACGTCGTTGAACACTGTTAGTTCAGTCCGAGGTTCAAATCCCGCGAACGTGCTGGCTGCATGGGTGTTTTCGTGGTTTTCCCCATGTGTAACGTGTATACGAGCCAGTTTCTCTTAAAAAGTCCTCCACAAAGGCATCCCTCCCTTAAGGCAGATAGCTCTCGAGTGCTTTGCCGTAAAACCAAACCAATCAAAATCATTGAAATGGATTTAACGCCAGTGTGTGATTAAGGGTCTTATAATAATATCTGATAATCGTATTTTCCTTACATAAAAACAAGGGAAATGAGTATTGACGGAAACAAATAATTTGTATTTCGCTGTTCACTGGTTTGACTAACGTATGAAAGGATGAACTTGTGCATAATTCACAGTCAAGAATGAACGTTATTAAATCAAAAAGGTCATGCTTGTATATCAAAAAATGCGTTGTACAAAATTTTATTTTAATTATTCAACAGTATACATTAAATATCACCAAAGTGCTAAACCAGAAAACATCAGGACCCGACAGAATAAACAAAAAAGCGCTTAAATCTGCCACCTTAATCCTTTATCAATTAAAATAAAAATATTAATTTATGCTTCAGCATGGCTACTCTCCTAAAAAATGGCAGACTGCCGTAATTATTACCTTTCCAAAGCCGACCAAAAAAAGCAGGATTAAGCCTATTTAGTGCCTTATTGAAAGTCCAAGAAAGAATCTTTTACAGCACATTGCTCCGTTAGTGCAAAACGGTTAATAATTCTTACGAAAGCAAGCAATATCAACATTGTCAGACAACAACTATTTAGAAAACGAGCAGAATCACGTACTAATGAATTTTAAGGTCATGCCCTTCTCCTGGTTTACCTCTCAACCATATTAAGAACTGCTGCGGAGCACTGGCGTAGCTAAAGTGAGACACAGACTCAAGGACTCTCCCAGTGGAAAAAAGTTGCATCGCTGCTGCGATGGATGATCGAATCCTCTAATTTGCTAAGATTCCATAATCTCCTATGTGCTGGGATGACAATGAACATTATGATCGAAACTAAGAGAAGGTTCTACCTCAAAACGCTTCTTTTAAAGTAACAGATCATAGGAGAAAGCAGCAACTTCTCTACTTCTCTTGATGCGTAACAGAGGGGCTACAGCTTCTCAGCTATCTCGGGACCTGTATGCAGCCACAGGAAGCCGTGTAACAAGGGTGACTGTTTCCAAAAGACTGAATGAGAGAGGGTTGTTTGCCAGAAGACGGCCGTTTCAGTCCCGCTCACGTCTACGGACAGGAAAGTCCGATTAGCATTGGGTAGGCAGCATAGTGATTGGAGTACGGAGCAATGGGCGACCGTTCTGATCACCGACGGGTCCCGTTTTAGCCTAAACACCGATTCTCGTTATACTTTCATATGGAGAGAGCCAGGGACCCGCTACCTACCTTACAGTGTTCGCGAAATCAACAATTATGGCGGTGCTGGTGTAATGGTCTGGGCAGGCATCATGTTGGATGGCCGCACATCTCTCCACGTCTTTAACAGAGGCTCTGTGACTGGTGTGAGGTATAGGGATGAGGTCTTGGAGCCCTATGTTCACCTTTTTCGGGGTGCAGTGGGACCCTAGTTCATCTTACAGGACGATAAAGCGAGGCAACGTAGAGCTCTTCTAGTCGACGAATTTCTCGAGAAAGAGGATATTCGTCAGATGGATTGGTCAGATGGATGAGTCAGGTCTCCAAACCTCAACCCTGTAAAGCATGTCTGGGTCGCTCTGGGGAGGGCAATTGCAACTTGCAACAACCCTCCAAGAACTGAAAAAGATCGTTGCTGAATGAGTGGGACCAATGCCACAGGCACTGATAAACTGCCTTATTTCCAGTATGAGATCATGCTGCGAAGCCTGTATGGTTGTAAGACGGGACCATACTTTCTATTAACCCATTTATTTTGTGTCTTCTGCAACTGCTGTTTCAGACCTTCAGATTCCCAAGAGTGTTACACACGAACATGTCTCTATTATAACTTTGAATATTTATTTCTTTTGTATTATATCACCTTAGTTCACACCAAATTTTATTAATCTTTACAGTAGTTCTGGAGATCGTAGATCAAATATGCAAATTCTCTTAATTTATTTCACCAGTGTAGATTAGAATCGTGTTGGTGTGTCAACAAACGGGTCAGTGGAGGTTTCGTCTCATCTTTCCATTTATCTTAAGACCCGGAGCAATCCGGTTAATTATTAATTATAATATCACTTTCAGTAATAAGATTTATTATTTTTCCGCAGTTTTCCCAATTGTTGAGTCAGTGGACCATGTACGTGATATGAGAATGTTTTATTGATTTTTATAATCATTGTAAGTTTATAGCGTAAATGCCACACTGGGTTGAATATAATATTTCCTTACACTGAGACAATTTTGCATTTTTCTCTGAGTAAAATGTATCATTTTCAGATTTTCAGTTAAAATGGCTAGTTAATGATCTAAATATTGTACTTTGAAGAATAAGTAAGTAATTGTGCTTTTTTTTAATTGAGAAAGTTAAAAGATAAGTGGTAAGTTATCAAAATATATTAAACGTTAGATATTTGATCACGTATATAAGGTTAACTGTAGTTTTTAAAAGGATTTTAAGGGTTTCACCCCCTAAATTCTTATATTCAAGCCAATATGAAAATTTTTTCGTTTAGTTCATTCGTTAACTTTATGGTAATTTTATTTTTTTAAAGAAAATTTCCAGCATTTAACTGTAACCGTTAATGAATTTTTTTCAACGTAAACAAAAACATGAGGAAGCTGGTGAACACGAAATAATTATTTAGAATCATCCATAATCATGAAAAGTAAATGTGGTTTGTTCGAGATATGTATACTTTACTTATATTCTCTTTGGTATTTAATTTGCGAATGTATTGGTAGAGTGTTTTGGATGAAATCTGGAATATATGGACAAGGTAAATAAAGTATACCAAATTAATATTTTAATCAGATTTATATGTAGATATATTTTCATGTTCCCTATTATGAATATAAATGTTCATATGCTATGCGTTTTGAATATTTTACATAAGAATGTAGATTTTTGCTGTGAATGATGAATATTTTTTGCAAAGTTTTGTTGTAAAATTATCGGAAAACATCAGATGTAGGATGAGTATTAAGAAATGCCACTGTATTTTAGAGAACAGCAAAGTTGACTCTTTTTATTGTTACATTATAGTATGATATTAAATATATTCCTCTAATTATCTGGATTTTATTGCGACTTTTTAAAAATGTTATTGAAAATTATAGTAACAATAGTCTGTGTGCATTTGATGATAGTTTACTTTATGTTTAATCAAAGGGGTAAGAATTAAAATACCATCCTGTTTAGCTTAAATGTTTATAAGTATATAGTGTCTTTGTGGCATGAGGGCACTTAAAAGTGATTTGGTTATAGGGGAGGAGATTCTTGAGAAGTCCCTGGGGGGATTCTCTTTCAAAACTGGTATGGAACTGGGCAAAGTCATACTGTTACTTATGAAATGCCCAATGTCTAAGCAAATGATAAATTCACTCCTGTGCTCCTTGCCACAATAAAATTCATTGCCGATTCTAATAGGATAAGTCACAACAATGCACAGTCATATATTTTTGTATTTTATTTCATATATAGCCCTTAAACTGTTAAATTTGATTTTGTCAAAGCTCTTTAAATCTCATGAAATGAGAATGTTTTATTGATTTTTATAGTCATTGTAAGTTTATAGCATAAATGCCACACTGGGTTGGATATAATATTTCTTTACACTGAGACAATTTTGCATTTTTCTCAGAGTAAAATGTATCATTTTCAGATTTCCAGTTAAAATGGTTAGTTAATGATCTAAATATTGTACTTTGAAGAATAAGTAAGTAATTGTGCTTTTTTTTAATTGAGAAAGTTAAAAGATAAGTGGTAAGTTATCAAAATATATTAAACGTTAGATATTTGATCATGTATATAAGGTTAACTGTAGTTTTTAAAAAGATTTTAAGGGGTTCACCCCCTAAATTCTTATATTCAAGCCAATGTGAAAATTTTCATTCAAAATTTTAGTTTGACTTTTACCTAACAAATATTATCTTCAGTGTTCATGCGATGTGAAGGACGCACAGCTCTTATTACTGGAGGAACAAGTGGTATTGGTTTTGAAACTGCAAAGAAACTACTATCTTTTGGCATGAATGTGATCATTGGTAAGGCTTTTTTCTTTATTTCCTACTTTATTTTTAATTTAAAATTATATATCTATATACTGTAAGGATATAGTCAATGTATTTATGGAATATGTTGAAAATGAAATAATATGCATGTATCATTATGCGAATTAACTGCATTATTATTGCAAATTAAATACGCATTATTAAATTGGGACTAACCCCTTTAGGTCAGCAATATCATGTATGCATCAGCAGCTAACCCTCTTATGAGACGGCATGCCACTTGGTGCAGCTCAGCTTGGAGACGATGTGTTGCACCAGTGCATCATCCAGCTGCTAGTGACATTTGGGACTTATGCATATATGACATACCCGTCTACAGAGGGTTTTTAATTTAGTAACATGCCATCATGAAGGGGTTAATGAACCTTAGCTTCTCAGCTGAAACCAAAAATTTGTTCTTTTTTTCAAATACCTGAATTAGAAATAACCAAGGGATTTGTATCTTGTGCAATTTAAATTCCTTTTAATATTAATTTTAAAAATGTAATTTGATGTATTAATATGACATTATATTTTGTACCTAATATTGGAAATTACATCTCAGTATGGAAATTAATAAATCCTATATAAATGATATGGAGAAATAAAAATTAATCTGGAGTAATATATGTAGAACTTATCTGAGCTTCATTTCTAGAATTAAAAGTGCTGTAGCCATATAAGTAAAAGCATTAATTGAAGAATAAATAAATAAAGCTATAATGAATACAGTCAAAAGTCGTTAATTCGGACACCCATAATCAGGAATGGGCTGATCTTTAGAATATGGTAACTGGTAGTTTGGCGACATTTTGGAGGCGATAAAGGTTACTACCTGGGACTTTGGTAATAATGTGAGCAGTACTCAGTTCCGATTACGCATTATTTTGTGTGAGGGAAATGAGAGATCATGGGATATGTCATGTGATATTAATGGACGAATTACGGTTCTTTAATCGGAAAAGGGGGGAAATCGGGGAAAAAATCTGGAAATTTTGTATTTGGCTTTATTCTGTGTTGTGTGAAACAGTGTTCGTTAATTTTTGGCCCTAACTAAAGTGAATTCGAAATGGGTATTTAGTGGGATTGAAAGGGGTAGTAATAAGTGTTTCTTTAAGGTTGTGCGAGATAGAAGTAAAGATGTTTTATTAAGTTATTTATTTTACCTGGTACCTTGGTGTGAACTATAAGTATGATTTTAAAGATCCTGAAACAGAAATAAGAAAAGTTTATCGGACACGTAATCAAGATTCTGAAGAAGAATAGGTAAGTTAGTATTTTTAATTATTTGAGGATATTATTTTTATGCATTGTTCTAAATGTAAGGTGGAAGTAAAGTAATTTGCGTAAACGTGCATGGAAATAATTTAAATATTTGACACTAAGTATTTGTAACCATTTGTAATGTTTGCGGTATGAATTCGTTGGTGACGTTTGTAATATAATAGATAATTTAGAGGTAAAAGTTTTTGGATATTTTATTTATTTTATATGTGGGGAAATGTTCATATTTGGAAAGGGTATATACTTTTTCGCGATCAGGTAATTTCATATATGTTCTTTTTACCGGGTTTAAAGATTCAGAAAATTGTTATGCATTTTCGATTTTTTTTTTAACTAAATTTTTCTAATTTATGAGAAAATTTTCTTTTTCTAATTTATGAGAAAAAGCAGTGTACATGGATATAGTGAAGAGTGTGCGCAATGCCATTTTTGTGCAATTCTGGGATGTTTTTTTAAGTAAAAATAAGTCGACGTGTACATGGTTTAGTGATATTTTAATTAAATGATAGTTATTTTGTGAATTTTATGTTTGTAGGAATTTGGTATACGTTTAAGTTGAAGTAAACGTGCATGGAAATAATTTAAATATTTGACACTAAGTATTTGTAATGCTTGCGGTATGAATTCGTTGGTGACGTGTATAATATAATAGATGATTTAGAGGTAAAAGTTTTTGGATATTTTTATTTATTTTATATGTGGAAATGTTCATATTTGGAAAGGGTAAATACTTTTTCGCGGTCAGGTAATTTCATATATGTTCTTTGTTCTTTTTACCGGGTTTAAAGATTCAGAAAATTGTCATGTATTTTCGTGAAATTTTTCTAATTTATGAGAAAAAAGCAGTGTACATGGATATAGTGAAGAGTGTGCGCAATGCCATTTTTGTGCAATTCTGGGATGTTTTTTTAAGTAAAAATAAGTCGGCGTGTACATGGTTTATGTGTATGTGTTATTTTGAAAAACGCGTAAGGAGTATGGTATTGTGCACTTTTTCCCAATTTTGCAGTGAATATTTGTCATGATTAAGCAGTTTTGTTAGATAAAATTTCTAGCATAAGTGTAATTCGGCTAGTAGATTGTTGGAAGAAGTGTTCAGTAGATAAAAAGAAAAGAAACATGTCTTTACTTCGTGAAGACAAAATGGCGGCGGGGGAAAAAAAAATAGAGGGTTGCTGTAGGAGAGTTGGTCGCCAAATTTTCGCCAAAAAAACGCCAAGTTACCATAATGTAAAGATCAACCCCGGAATGATCTATAATCCGGACCTCAAAGCTACAAACTTTCTGCGCATGCGTCTCATTGACGCATGCGCGTAAGACCTTTACCGCTGCGAATTTGCGTGTGCGCGTGCGCAAAATAAATTTACGAATGCGCGTTGAATGTATAACGGACGGATAGCTAAGCTAAAATTATCTTTTTAATGTTGCAGATTGCGTGTTCCTTAATCTTCGAATTGGATCTGGATTATTATTTTTTGCAGACTGTTAGAGCAATTTCATAAAAGTAAGCTTGAACTTTCGATTATGTCAAATAGAATTTCCGATATATATTTACTAATATGTAAAGGATATACAAAAGCAAAAGTATCTTTTGGAGTCCATTAAACAAAAAGTGGAATTGCTGCAAAAATTGGATAAAGGCATATCCTTTGTTTATCTAAACTTTGTTTATCTTTAACGCCGGGGAGGCGTGCAATGAATTGGAAGTTGATCTGTCAGCACTATCCTTATCTTAAGGGCAGATGTTTTTATTTTATTTGGCTTATAATTGCTTACTCAATGTAGTATCTCGATGTACTCCCTCTTTGATATGATTTAAATCAAATGCCTTGTCATTATAATGCGCTTCCGATAGCGAAGAAAGTGACTGAGGTTATTGAAAACGAAAAAATTTCGATTGAAAAATTAGTCGGTATTCTCGACAGAGCAATTATAGGACTTGAACAGCGGAACTTGTAACTGAACAAGAAATTATGTCTGTTTATAGAATTAAAGAGAATGTATTATCACATAAAAAACGAAGCAACTTAAACAACTTACATTGAAAGAAATGTTTAATAAAGTAAACAAATAAATATTAAGCTTTTTTTTTTTTTGTAAATTTTGATACTCTTTAGATCATAATTGTTCTTGATTTCATAAATTATGGTTTCATAGAATAATTAAGCCTAGATCTTGATAAAATCATGAGTTTTTCTTGCTTGACAGTTAGAAAGTGAAGATTTTTGTAATCCACGTGTGAAAATAAAATATGCTGAATAGTAAATATTTTACCTTAATTATATCACATATGTTTCAAGTTATGCTTTAAATGATGTCAGATAGTTTCAGATATATATTCTTTTTGACTTAGTAGCATTAAATAGGAAATAAAATAACATATAATAACATACAATTAAAGAGATATTTATCTAAAACATTTTCATTCAGTTAAAATCTATAAAGCTACTTTAATTATTAATAAAATGATAAACTATAACTAAAAAAAAAGTGGTTAAGGTTGCAAGAAACAATAAAGGAGAATCTCATCATCATCTGTTATCCCAGGGCCCTGAAGTCTCTAGATATAGACCTGCCTAAGAAAGTGGGTGGTGATACAGTAGGTTCCCCCCTTAAGTATTTATTGTACTACGAATAGACAATGTAAAAGAAAAAAAAAGGGAAAAAGAATAATTTCCAAATAGCATTACAGTTAACCCCCCTTAACACGAACTCGATTAAGGTGAACAGTCAGTTAACATGAACAAAATTTCGGTCCTGCAGCAACGTACATGATTTTATAGGAAGTTTTATCGGTTAACTCAAATTTCGATTAGCATGAATTACAATCTCTTTTTTTTAATCTGTTGCATCATTAGATTTTATCATTTAACACAAAATTACGTTCCGCCCTGTTTAATTGAAAACCCCGCAGAATACACTGTACTCTTTAAAACATAAACAGCATGAGTAACATTGCTTGACAGTTGCAATCATTTAACAGTGAGCTTCAATCAGCAAATACAGTTCTGTAGTCATATGTGCTTTTTCATTCTTTAAAAGTTAATACAACAAATGTTAAATCTTGAAATATTATGAATTAATCAGGTTAAACTACTTACCTGTCTTTTTCTCTGAATGATTACCAGGGTGAGTTAATATCTTCTCTTCTTAAAACTCAGTAGGATACAGCATATTTAATGAATAGTTCCATTTAAAATTAAAATTATTTGCATTAAAATATTCACATAGATTTACTGGACTGTAGTTTAGTTACATATGAATTTTCAGCATGCATCAGTATGTCTTTATTCTTCAAAAGTTCTTACAGTATTGTTTAAAAGGGGTGTTCTTACAGCATTGTTTAAAACCCCAAAATCTTCAGAAAATTGTGATTTCAGATTTTTGCCTTTTCAAATTCTGTACACTTTTATCTTTCTAAAAATACCATTCGTTTAATCTCTATGAAAATTAGAACTGTAAAAAATCTAGTTGTAATTTGTCATCGACTGCTTTGATCAATGAGGATTTTTACATAAAAACGCGTTTTTCTCTAAACGGGATTTTTTATACTCGATGTATCTTTTCTCAGCAACTACTGCTCGCAGATATCTAAAATTTTTATGGCTTATTTATTAGGTTTCCTAATATTTACTGAAATGAGCTTTTTGTGATAAACTTAGAAAAAAATTTTTAAAAAAATTTTGTGTGAGAAAAGTGATAAATTTTACTATGTCTAACGAAATATTCTGTAAATTACTCTGAAATTCAAAATGTTTCAAAAGCTCATTTCAGTATAATAAGATATGTATACTTTAATTACACAAAAAATTTCAAGTGTGTATCTACAGCAGATTTTGAGAAAAGGTACATCGAAAATGGCCAGTTTAACATTGTCTGTATAGGGGTTGCTGATACCCTTTAATAGACCTGTAGATGGCACTGTGGTAGCTTTCAGGTGACAGCTAAGCATTAAATAGCAAGCAGTAAAAAAAGAAATTTGTGACCAAGAAGAAGAATATAGGCATAGATCTGAAAACAAAACTAAAAGTCCTGAAGAAAGTAGACCAAGAAGGGCAGTATCATTCTGCCCACCTGCCAGAAAATGTTACATGCCTTGGACTACTGAAATGTCGGAACTGACTGCTAGTTTTATGGAAGTCATGGGTACAGTTGGCCTTGAAGTTACTAGACCTTTTTATTCTTGTCTACAATAGTGCAATATGCAGGAATTTTTCTACAAAAATGATCTGTGAGAGCATTTTTAAAGCTATAGTACAGCAATTAATGTAGTACTGTAGAGTTTTCTGTGATGACTTACATTATATATTGTAGTACTCATGTAACTATTGTAAGGATCCTCAGTTTTACTAACGTTTATTTTATTTTAAAACTGTACTATCACTTCTTATTTTCTGCTTCTGCACAGAATTACATGCTTTAACTTGTTTATGCAAATTGTCTTGCTAACGCCCAAGTACTTAAGTTGTGGCTTTTTGCCAAGTGGGAGAGAGAAGGAGTTTTAGAAAGCAAGCCGCTTGCCACTGCAGTTTTAAAAGTTTTCACTCGGTTGCTGGTTGCCTTTAAGGCCAGAGGTTTAGCCCTCTTGATATTTGCAAACGTATTGTAGTTTCAGCAGTTCGTTGTACTACATATGTACCTTTTTTAAATAAAGGCCAGTCTTAGTGCTAGGCATTTTTATACTAATTCAAAGTTAGCTTTTAGTTATAGTTTTAGTTAGTAGTTTTATATTTTTACGTTCAGACCACAAGTGGTTGGTCTCTGTATTCCGAAGTTCGGAAGTGCCTGTAAAGTATTGAAAATAAAGGGTTTTGTATACCCTTCCTGATTGTGTCGTCTGTTATACACAAATCTTGAACAGAGCTTGAGTAAGCTCCCTGTTCTTATTCAGGGCATTCCATGTTTCCAAAGCAAATCAAGAGAAACACAAGTCCTGACACTGTATACTGTAAACGGTTAATGTATACAAAAACGTTTTATAAAAATAAAATGAGTCCCCACTTAAAATGAATTTTTTTAACACAAATTATTGATTTTTCAGTTGATTGAGATCCATGTTAACAAGAAATTCTGTTTTTTGAGGATAATGTTCTCATTAGAATTCAACCAGGAAAATATTCATGGTTTCCTGGTGATGAATATTTAGTACAGGAAGGATACTGATAACTTTTTAAACAAAGAGCACAAGAGTGCATACAGTTAATTAATTCAGCCATTTCTTTGGATGGGCCAAACACATAAATATGAATTTTGTATGCAGGCAGTGTTTCTAGGCACAACATACTATATCACTGGAGAGGTAACAAACTAAAAAAATGTTAGAAAAATCTTCTTCTTAGGGTCATGCTCCTCAGTTCTGTTCCAAAATTTGAGGACACTTTGACCACATTCTGCTGTTTTGTAGCAAGTAAACAAAATTGTCGCAAACAAACAGTAGGTGAAATATATCCTTTTAAGCTTTTCTATTTTAATGTCTTATGAGCAGAAATAGAAGTGCACACGTACTTCACCACGGAGCTAAAGAAACAAGACGTATCTAAGATTGCAATCTTTTTTGTATGAATTGCCCATGATTTTAAAGTTATGAGGTAAAATACAAGGTAGGGAACATCTTAAATGGAGAGTTCTTGCATCTACAAGAAATATTTGTTGAAATGGGTTATCCAATTAACCGTCATTTTGCTATGGTTTAAAAGATAAAGGATGGTCATCTGGACCTTTGCTTAAAGGCACATACAAAGGTTTCTCTAAAACCAAGCCTGCTAGAAAATGAATCGGGGAGGCACACAAAAATTGCATAACTATAGAAATAGCTAAATATGCTGCAATACAATGATGATTTTAGTGATTATTTGCAACATTTAGATATTATTGGTGACATGTTTCTTTGTACAATACTAAAGCAAGCTGAATATGCAATATTTCAGTGTTCATGAGATATGTATTTCAGCTCTCATGAACTAACTATTGTACATTTATTAATAATTATAAATTTGTGTAGGTACTGTTTCAGACTTATCTGATAACTAGCTGAAAGTATCTCCACGACTGAAAGCATTAATATAAGATGTTTCTAACGTCAGGATATTATATGGGTGAGATGCAAATCATGTCATGAAGAAACTTTAATAAAACTGTTAAAATAAAAAATAAAAATTGTAAACAATGAATTCTAATAAGTTGGGAGCTAAATCATGTGCTGAAAGATGTATTAATTTAATGGTATTAATTAATATTTATTGCTGTGGTCTACTTTACTAGGTTCTAATGCTTCAGCTCAAGAAAGTGAGAAATGCTTAGAAGAGCTGAGAGTTTTGTATCCAAAAAGTAAAGGTAAGGAAAGATCAAATATATGATTGATCAAATCAGCTTCTTCAAACCTTAAATAATTATCAATATCATATTCTTTACAATAATTATGGAAGTTGCTTTACCATTTTTGATTTTATTGCATTTTGAAAATTAGATCTTTTTGTTTGAATTATGATTAATCAAATCAGCTTTTTAAAGCCTTGATTAATTATGGATAGCTTTTTCTCTACAATAAGCATTGAGTTATTTCACTGTTTTGTTTTTGAACTCCATTTATATAGTAATATTTTTAATTATGTTTTAAGAATTCCTTAAAACGTAAATTGCTTCTAAAATGTGTTTGTTTGTATCAGTATATTTTTTCTCATGTTCACACTCAGTTTTCACATATTTAATTATAGAGTCACAAATTTTTGCAATAGGAATGTATTTATCTGTCTGATAAAAATTGTGTACAGATTTCTTATTTTTGCAAGTTTTACATTTCTTAGTCTCTTTTTATATTTATTATTTTTTGTAAAGACATAATAGGATAAAAAAAAGGCTGAATAATTTATGACAAAAGTTTAAGGAAAGATATGGCCCCATTCTAAATATTCAGTTTTTAAATAAGGTTGAATAGTAATTTCTTTGTCAGTTTTAATCTTATATTAAAATTGTTCTTTTGGATATTCTATATACATACAAAATACAATATTATTAATCATTGGATATTCTATATACACATGAAATACAATATTATTAATCGTAGATACATCACCTGGATCAAAAGATTGTATAAATAAGGAAATTTTAACATGTCCTTTTTTAAGAAATCTTAAATCGTCAGTTAAAACTTTACTGTTTGAAAATTTTGCATATTTATAGAAATTCCAAAGTTTCTGAGATTTACAACTAATAATATTAAGAGAGCTATTTAATAAATGAAACGTTTCATTGCATTCTTGGTCATTGGATAAAATTTCATTTTCCATGTTATAATTTCCACCACCTGTTAATTATATAGGAGGAGGAACATAAAAGCCTTTTCTGATTGTATTGCAAAATATTATCATCCTTTTGAATGTTTAGTTCCCCCCTCTAAATACCTCTTATTGACAACAATTTTGTTTGGTTCATTGGGATCTTTAACATTTTCAATTCTTCCATCTTTTGCAATCTATAGTGTATTTAAATTTTAAACAATTGCTATCGATATATTTCAAAACAAACTCTTTATTTGTTAAGTCCTCCTTTTCACAGCTGATTATATTTTTATTTTCCATATAATTTCCATCGCACATCAGTTCTTGTTTTTCTCTATTTCTTTTATTAAATAGATAATCCACTGTCATTTATTAAAGAATAAAAAATTTCATTATCTCAAGGAGGGTATTATAGAAATTTGTTTAGAAACTATATTAATGTTACAGATTTTTTTGTGTTGCAGTATGAAGTAAAACCTAACAGACTCATTTTGAGCATTTCTCGTAGTGAAAATTAATGTCTAAAGTATTTAAATCTAAATTGTTTTCATGACGTTAGAGATTGAAACAAATCATAGGTTACAGGTTTCTAAACTCTTATAGCTTATCAGACATCATATTTCATACATGTTTATTCTAGTCAGTCCTGCTTCTAAAGAGCCAAATACAACTGATTATATTTCTTATTAGTAAAATCTATTTTGCGTAGTTTATTTAGAATTTTTATACTGCTGTTCACTGATAATCAACAGAAGTTCATATCTTAAGTTGTCAAATATAAATATTGTTCATTTTTATGTTGTTTTCTTTTTTAACATACTGCAGAAGCACATAGGCACATAACACTTTGTCTGACCATGATTAGACTTCACATATACCATCCTTGTTTTGCAGTGGGTTTGATCTTCCAGTTGTAACTTCTTTCCAGTTTATTTCAAAATATTTATCTGAAATTTTTCATTCAAAGTTTTTTATTTCAGTACCTTTTGTGAAACTAACAAGTAAAAATATCAAACTCACTTCTTCTATTGCAACTTTATATAAATGTTATTATCAGTTGTGTGTAACATATTCACATTTTTATTCTTTTTAAATTCCATTTCAGTTTTAAAATGTATTATAAATCTTTTATATTGTGTAAAGAAGTTAAACATACCTTTCAAATATACATCGGGTTTGTTTTTTTTATCCAGTTTTGCCTTTTTAGTAATATCAGATATCTTTTTGACATCAACAATAGTTTCACAGTAATTAAAAAAAAATTTGATGTACACATGACTTCCTTGTATGGCCTATTAAATAATGCACATTTTTGATGCATTTTATATAAACTTATTTCCTCTAATTTCATTAGAGATATATTTCTCATTCATTTAATTCAGTTCTCACTTTGTAGAACTGAATTAGATGAATGAAAAATCTTCATTAAAAACATCTTCATTAAAAATTGTAAAATACAGAAAAGCATAAAACATCAAATACAGTTAAAGCAATAAAAAATAATTTTTACAATTAAAATTAGAGTTCCTCAGCAAAAACAAGCAATTCGGTCAGTGGGCCAGCAGGCAGATTTTTCGGTGCACAAAAGTGAAATTTTACTTTTGGTCCTACTCGGCAAAATGACATTGAAGGAACAGAAACTGGCTTAATTCACTATTCTACTGAGTTTGAAATGTAAACAAATGACAGTTCTTTAGGCTTAACTCACCACTTACACTTTTAAATTGTTGATAATTTTACAGCTATTGTATGCAGATTAAGTAAAGGCATAAAAAAAAACCTTAAACGGAACATAAACACCACATAATTCAATCACTTTTAAAGCAAAAAAATGCACAGTTTACAACATGTAAGAATAAAAAAACTAAACGTATGTATATATAAGATTGGTGCAGCCGATTGCAAGGAAAAATGGAGGTGCACAATTACATGGTATAGCAGTCCCATATACAAAATTTCAACATTGTATGGCTACTCATTCTTGAGTTATGCAAGATACATACATATGTATGTACTTACAGATGTCAAGAAAAAGATCTCTTCAGAATCCATTTTGAAATCCTTTTTGGCAAAAACAGTCCTTTATTCTGTCAGTACGTACAGATGCCATACAAAAACATTGTTCAAATGGTTTTGAGAGTGGTTGAAATGCACATTTTCCTTGACATATGATACCCAAAATTTTTCGAGCTTACAGTACTTCCTTTGCTTCGCATAAGAAAATAAAAATGAATGTCTGCATGGTTGGATGTATCTTTGCAGAAAAATACATTGGTAGGTTCAGAATTCGAATAAAAAACCCAATTCATTAATAAATGTTACATGGTCATTCGTAATGGGTCATGTTCAATGGGCATTTTATTAACTACTACTAGATCTTAGATATAATTTAGATTAATCGTATCAATATGTGGATGTTATAAAAATAGCAGTTTGAATTTAGGCATTCACGTCCTGATTTCCTAAATCTTAGTGCTGGAGATTCTGTTTTTATGAAATCATGCACACACACACACACACACACACACACACACACACACACACACAAAAAAAAAAAAAAAAGTTTGTATGAGAAGATATTAGGGGATCTTTATGACCAAAGAATTTGATTACGACAACCAGTCTGTCTATCAGGGTGAGCTGGATCCTGTGTTTCCCCTTAGATTTCTAGAGAAGGTGTCCTTTTTGAATTCAAAAGCAATATGCATGTACAGACTGTTGTTACTGATTTTGGTAAATTATTTAAATAGAGTTCTTTTGAGCAAAGCATCCTGTTGAAGTACTGTGCTAATCCAAGTATCTGAATTAACTGGGACTGTATCCATCTGGAGATTTGAGCAATCTGGGCAATAAACTTATTTTTTTTCCTTCTGTAGGTCAAATATAGAAGGTGTCGCAGTATCAGAGTTACAAATTTGTAAGAAGGATAAGAGACACTCAAATGACTTAGAATCACATAGCAGTGTAGGGTTGAAAATGACATAAGCATGTGATAATATACTTAGAAGACACCAGAAATGAAAAGGAACCACATAAGTGAATATGTGCTTTAATAATAAATGTACATTCACAAAAGTGGAGATTAGAAAAAAAGTGTTTGAAATGTCCTCCATGAACAATTCATGCCTCACATCTCCGGCAAATGGAATTCTGAACATTCTGAAAGATTCTGAGCATGTCTCAGAAACAAACCCCTTCCAACTACTGTAATCGGTCGAATCACTTCCTTAGTGCGTCCAACAGCAGTATCATACACCAATGTTTTCATATGACCCTAGAAAAAGTATTCAAACAGGCCATCATACTGACAAAGTACTGAACCATTATGCCCAGCCCAATCTATTGCTGGCTAAATGCAACATCTAGATACCAGATGCTTTTTGAATAACTCCATATTCATGTAATGACCCATCCTGTTGGTGTCCAGATGGTATAGCCGTTAGTGACACACTGCTGTACTGATGGGCCCCAATTTGAATCTTGGAGAAAGCAAGAATATTTTTAAACATATAGTGTTTGTGCGACACGGGGGCATTCAATATACATAAAACAAAATTCCTGTCACCGAGAGGACAATCTGGGCTATTTCCCAACCACCAACCTCTTGATTCAAGAAGGGAAGAGGGTTGGGAGACCTTTGGATCATCTTGTAGGATGTTCTTCCTCAACGTCTAGATACCAGATGTTTTGTGAATAACTCCATTCATGTAATGACCCATCCTATTGGTGTCCAGATGGTATAGCCGTTAGTGACACACTGCTGTACTGATGGGCCCCAATTTGAATCTTGGAGAAAGCAAGAATATTTGTAAACATATAGTGTTTGTGCGACACGGGGGCATTCAATATACACAAAACAAAATTCCTGTCACCGAGAGGACAATCTGGGCTATTTCCCAACCACCAACCTCTTGAGTCAAGAAGGGAAGAGGGTTGGGAGACCTTTGGACCATCCTGTAGGATGTTCTTCCTCAAAATTGGGACAGAGCTGCACAGTTAGTGAGGTAGGCCTGTACCTGTACCTCTGCATCCAGGTGTGAAATGAAGCTTTCCTGTAAGACTGCTCAGACCAACACCATCTACAGCTTCAAGAAAGCATTTCCAACCCAGATTTGAAATTCTCCTTTGCAGATTGAGTCAACTAGGTTCACCTTACCTTTCCTATAAGTTTGTAACCCTGCTTCTGAAACACCTTGTACATTTACTGTGCTGCAAATGAAGGAATTTATTTTACTTTATTTCAACAAATGTTTTGTTACATTCTAATGATAAATAAAATGAAATCCTCTTATTTTATTATTATTGTAGTAAAATATCACACACACACACACATATATATTTTTTTGCTCAAGTGAAGCAGCAATTTTTTAGTTTCTTTTTTCATAAATGCAGGATTCATTTTTATTTGAACTAAAAGAAATTAATTTTTTCAACATATGCTTCAGAGCTAAATGAAGAATCTTATTTTTATTGTTCTAAAATTAATGTGTTTTTTCAAAATGACAACTGTATTTATTTATGTAAATAATTAAATTGCAAGTATTATTTTAATAAATTGATGATAGTATCAAAACTGACAAATATAGCATATTCTATTTTATTGTAAAATTTAAAAAAAAAAAAAAAAACAGTGTTTATGCAGCTTTTAAGTATTTTCACACTATACTGTAAATTTGATCAATTTGCATTATAGTATAAGTTATTTTGACTTTTTATAGTATAGTATAGTTTTTTAGTATATGTTACTATAATTCAGAGTTTTACAGATTGTTTCTTGAAGGGTTAAAGATTATCATAAAATTTTGAATGTGTGTAAACATCATGCAGGATAGATAGAGGAACTGATAATCTGAACACAAATAATTTGAAAATTGATATTATTTAATTAAAATTTTATTTAACTTTTTTTTTTTTTTTTTTTTTTTTTTTTTTTTTTGCATGTACAGTGGTGGCCAAAATTGTGGACACTTTTGGAAATTTTTATGTTTTTGAACTTTGTATGCTTATAGAAAATGTTATGTTTTGCAAAATGCAAACTTGATTACTGAATTCAATACAAAACACAAAACTCAATTATTAGCAATACAAAAAAAGTTATATGTACTTTAATATAAATAAAAAACACAGTTATGAAGTGGTTTGTAATGTCTAGCTTTCCTGGCCAATCACTGTTCTTGTTCTGAGAACCAATCAAATGTTAGTAACTGCCAGTAGAAGCTGACATCATGTTTACACTTGAAACAATTCATTATTTTGCTTTGTTCTGTAGAAGGAGGACCTGTTTCTTATACACTGCAATTACAAGTAGGAATTTTTGTAAAAATTTTTAATATTTAGTCAAGCAGCAATGACATCAAATAAAAGAGTAGATTGGACACCTAGAAAGAGATGTAATATTATTGTGTTACGAGGAAGTGGTCTTTCCTATGCTGAAATTACAAGACAAGTGAGTGGTTCAATGACTACATCTGGAGTCCGAAAGTTTTGTTTACGATATCAGGAGACAAATTCAATAAAAAATCAAAGAAGGAAAAGGCCGAAAAAGGTGCACCACATCTATTGATGACAGAAGAATAAAAAGACTATGTCTCCAAGATAGAAAAATGTCATCAGCGGCCATCAGAAGTGATCTGAATGATGCTGGTGTTCCTGTCAGTTCAAGAACAATCAGGAGAAGATTAACAGATGTTGGACTGAGAGGTAGAATTCCACGAAAAAAGCCTTATCTTAATTTTCAGCAACGAAAAAAAAGACTACAGTGGGCAAAGGAACACATTAATTGGACAGATGATCAGTGGTCACAAGTTATATGGAGCGATGAAACTAAGATATCGTTATTCGGTAAAATATGTAAGACGTAGAATAGGAGAAGAGCTACATCCTGACTGCATTCAAGCAACTGTGAAGAACCCAGTTAGTGTTATGATTTGGTCATGCATGTCAGCAGATGGTATTGGTCGCCTTCATGTCATCGATGGGACACTGAATGCCAAAAAATACATTGACACTATTCTAGAACCAAAACTTCTACCTTCCATCAGAGATCTCTTTCCCAAAAATGCTTCGTTTATTTTTCAGCAGGATTCTGCTCCTTGCCACACGGCCAAAATATCGAAAGAGTGGTTCGTACAACCTCAATCCTATCGAAAATTTGTGGCACCGTTTGAAAACTCTTGTCCCATCAAATAAAAGAGAACTAATTGAGGTTATAATTGTTTCCTGGCATCATGTAATAACGAAAGAAGAGCTTAAAACTCTTGTCAGCTCAATGAAACGTCGATGTGAAGCTGTAATGAAAAATAAAGGGTACTCTACTAAATACTGATAACTAACTATAATTATAACTATCTAATGTATATTGATAACTATTATCGTTTTAACTTTTTTGTATTGCAAATAATTGAATTTTGTGTTTTGTATTGAATTCAGTAATAAATTCTCTTTAAAATGATATATACGAGTTTGCATTTTGTGAAACGTAATGTTTAATATAAGCATACAAAGTTCAAAAACATAAAAATTTCCAAAAGTGTTCACAATTTTGACCACCACTGTATGTACATGTGTTAGAATGTTGAGCCAAAGTTTGAATTTTGGTAGCTATTAAATAATACAAGTGATTTAAAACATAGATGTACTTTAAGTAAATTAATATAGCATTTATTAATTCATTTTTAGCAGTGTTTTAAAAGAAACTTAGTAAAAATTATCTTTTGCCATTATAATTTGATTTTTTAAATCAAATTAAAAGGTTAAGATATTTACAACTTTATGTATACATGCGCTACATATTAATTATTAATCTAATAATAATCTTTCTCTTAAAGTAAGAAAAAGCATGAACTGTACAATTATATTATTAAATCTTGCATTTTTCTTTTTAGTTGAAATTTGGTATGTGGATTTGTCTTCCATGAGTTCTGTAAAGACATTTGCTGAGAAGTATTTACTTTCTGGATTACCTCTTCATTTATTAATCAATAATGGTAATTTGCATGTATATATTATGGGCATGTACATATGTATTCGAAAGTTCTATTTCTTATTCTGATTTATGTATTTTTCCCTCTATATAATATTAGGAAAAGTTAATAAATAATCTTCAGTTTTTTTTTTTTTTTTTTTTTTTTTAAATTTAAAAGAAAGTGCAAAATGGAATAGAAAGCACATTTTTATTTCGTAATAAATCATCTACTTGTTCAGTGTTATTGCATCAGTATTTCAATAGTGCTAGGAATTTGCAAGAAAAATTCTCTTCTTATAAACTGTGTACTACTTATGCACTGTCACTTTTATCTTATTGCCTGTACTAAACTTCTTGTTATCAGTTGCCTCCTTAAAGTGTTCTTCTCTGTAGAATAATCATCTTACTGTGTCATCTTGATTTTTTTTTTTTTTTTTTTTTTTCATGTTAAGGCTATGTATATACTGTTCTTTGTATTAAATTGTTCAGGAACATGAAACCAAATAAAGAATATGAATTTTATTTTATTTTGATATTACTATTACTGCAACAAGTCACTGTTCTGGAAGATAAAGAAATGTTTTAAAAGGCTTATATCTGTGTGAAGTTTACTTTTCCATTTTCTTGCTTTAAGCTGTCTGAGGTCTGGGATCATTGGGTCTTCAGCAATTACATTTCAGAAATTTGTGGTTTTAGATCATTAGTTTATATCTAGTAAGATGATGTGTGGAAATGGCATCATTTGGGCTTTGCTTATTGTTTAGGTCAGATATAAAAAGGGTTACTCCCCTCACAGCCACTCGAGGGGTCGAAAGTGTGATACTGGCCAACATCAGTACAAGGTCAATTTATGTTTTGTAGTTGGCCATAGTGTGACTCCCTAACTAGCAGGTGTTTGAAAGTAATATGCAGGAATCTCATTTAACCCAGAAAAACAAGCACATTTATGGCACACCTGCTTTCTTTTATATCAGACATTCCTAGATTTGAGTGAGAGAGGATTTAAAAAAAAAAAAATTTTAATTAATGGCTTGTGGTCAAGAGGTCCGTATATTAGATCATTCCATATATTGGACATCTGAATTTTTGACTTTGGATTGCATATGATTTTGGGGGCCCAAAAGTCTGTTTTTCTGTACTTTGTGGTTAGCTGCATCCCTGCCAAAAAGTCATGAAGTTTTCATGAAGCAAAGCAGTATGTCACCCAAATGTGTGGCAACCCATGATATTGCCAAAAAAATATTTTTTGGCAACTCTAGTATGTGCATAGCACATCTATTTTCACTGTTGCACAATGCGAAAAGATTTTTTTTTTGGCAACTCAAGTATGTGCATAGTGCATGTCTATTTTTACTGGTACACAATGTGAAAAATGTTGGAGTCAAGTTTTACAATTACCTCTTTTATTTTAAGTGAAAACAGATCACAATGTGTATGGAGAACAACAGCACAAAAATGGAGGATTTCTTTGAAAAGACAAAGCACTGATGTTTCTTGCTTTTTAAATTTTATTGATTGAATGGAATTCTTAGCACATCATCATTTTGAAAATGACTGTTGTCTTACATCCCTTTTACTTTTGATGAAAAATAAGTCATTAATTAAATGCTGCTGGAATTGCTGTTTATGTCGTCTGCTATAGCGTGTAAGTCATTGACACTGTCAACATTATCATCTTTATCACCATTAAGTCTATCTTCTCACATGCAGTGATCTTCAAAACATCATGGGTATTAGATATCTCCATTTTCTTGAAGCATTTCACTGATAACGCTTCATCATTTAGAGCCTATACACCCAAAGTCCATGAGCAAATTAAAATTTTAAAAATTAAAAAAAATTTCAGAGCCTTGCGCTAAACAGCTAAAGGAAAAAATATATGAGTCAATACATACATACCCTAGAAAAATATTCTGCTGGATTAAAAGTTTTAAAGGGAACATATCTGTTTTAGTAAGACATTTAGTCTGTTAAAAGTGTTAAAAAGTCAACACTTAGATTTTCTTTGGGCATTGTGATCTAGTACAGTATTCTTATTTATGTGAATAAAGTTAATAAGGCAATTCAACAGAACGATATGCATTTAAATAGTACATTGAAACTTATAAATGTGTGCTATGTGCTACTGAACAGTTCCAGGAAATAGATGTCAAACAGCTGAAGACGAAGCAAGGGAATTGGTCTTATCTTTAGGAGGTATTGTGCAATTCATTGGCCTCAGATGTAAAAGGTCTTTTTCTTATGAAAGCAGGGATTTTAGGGAAAGAAATTATGGGTAAAACTTTTTCACTGCTGTAGTAGACACTGCTGTTTTGTTCTTTAGAGAAAGTGATGTGTTCAGTGTTATTTGTGACATAAAAAATTTGCCAAAAATAATGAAAATTTGAATAATAGTTGTAAGAAGTTTGCAGATGCTCTAAATGTTCTTGGAACAAAATTCAGGACATGAAGTGCTGCTGGATTATAAGTTATATTCTCTACATTACCACAAATTGCTAAGAGCTGTCTGGCAATATATCAGTACATATATGGAAAGAAGTTGGAAGACATTTCACAAATGTGTTAGTTGTATTGAAAGTTAATGCATGCTAGTGTCTGTAGCCTCATCGAAACTTAGGCTTTCAAAGCTGAAGCTAACAAGAACTATTTACACTCGTAAAATCTAAATCTTAAAATTCAATGAATAAGAAACGTTTTAAGGAAGAAACTGATTACAAAAAGTTGTTCTTCAAAAGGAGCAGATGAAAGAGACTAATTGGAACATTAGTTTGTTTGTTTAAAAAATTAAAAAAAAAAAAAAAAAAAAAGAACTTGTGACATCGTCAAACTTCTAGATAGAAGATAGGAGTCAGTTTGTTTTTGAAAACATTTTTAATTAAACTTAACATTTAATCTACATATTATAACAAGATCAGAATTGATATTCAAAATTGTCACAACATAATTCTATTTAAGGGGAAAATAAATCTTTCTAGACACGAGACATGTCTTACCCCATGGCACATGTCTTTCCCCATTACACAAAAAGTCCTTCGCTTCTTCTGCTCTTTTTAACAAGAAATGGATACATAACAGAAATGAAGTCCTAATTTCCCTTTTGGTAGCCAGAAAAGCCAGAAGGGTTTTTTTCATGGGAAAACTCTTTAATTGCAAATGCATGCTATATGTCACAAACTTTATGTTAAGAGATGTTTATGTAAAGATATTAAAGAGAAGGAGATGAATATAAATTAGCTAAAATATGTGTAAAAAATTTCAAATCATAAAGACAAATATATTATTATGTTATATATTTGCTTCTTTTAATGTATATCTTTTTAAAACCATTGTAATAGGTTATATGTATAATTATCTGTAAAATAACAGATAATTTTGCATTTTAAAATAAAAATGTAAAATTTCCTTGGATTTTTAATTTTAATAGTGCATTTTTAACAAATGTTTTTAAAAAATAAAATAATTTTTTTAACAGTGACCATGTGAATCTTCTTTAAAATTAATATGTGTGACTAAGTGTAAAATGTAGTAAATTCTCCAAGAAATTTTCGTAATGTAATGCTAATTACTTGATAATTTCAGGAATTTGTTTTTATTTTCAAATGCGTTTTACAATTATGGTGAATAATGATAATAAATATTAAATTATGTTTGATAATATTTAAATAATTAATAATAATGTGTATTAATATGTTAATATAAATTATGTTTAATAGTAAAAAAAAATTATGTTCTCCTTTCTGTTTCATTCTTAGAATGGCATTACAAGAGTGAAGCTGATTATATAGATAATTGCTTTATTTTATTCAGTTTCCTTTTCTCTTGGATTCTTATTTTTTTCCCATTGATGGTTCTTAATACTCCTAATTCCATGTGTAGAAAAGTGTAGTATGACTCTTGCTATAGGCCAAGATAAGTGTGCTTATACTTTCAGCTCCATACATTTACTGTTTTCATATATTATGAGAAAAGAACTTGGGTCATTGGTAAATGAGGATACCCTAAACTTAATGAATATAATGAATGAAAAATTGGATGGAATATTTTATGTCTACATGAAATGATAAGCAATTTTTTTTTCACTTTCTTCCAGCGGGTATAATGTTTGCACCATATAAAATGACAGAAGATGGTTTGGAGTCTCATATGGCAGTCAATTATTTTTCTCATTGTTTGCTGACTAAGCTTCTTCTGCCTCGTCTGAAGCAATCAGCAAGTGAAAAATGTAAAGCCAGGATAGTTAATGTAGCTTCGTGCCTGCACTTTTTATCTGAAATTGATTTTCAAGATTTGAATAGTTTGTGAGTTGTTTTTTAATTATTATATCAACATCAGAATTTATTGATGTCTAGTAAACTTTATTGTCTAAAATATGGTTCTAAAAAACGTAATAAAATTGACACAAAAATAAGTAATACAATAAATGTTCTTTTCTTTATGTCTAAGATAGCATTCTTAAAAATAATGCCACAGGAGTAAAAATATTAAATGGTGATAAATTTTAACATGTCATTTTGAATAGTAACATTGAAGCATTTTAATTAAAAACTTAAAAATTAGATCACAATGTGCAAGCAAAATTTTAATATTGAAATTGTGTGTGTGTGTGTACCTATACACATCGTAATTTTCTATGTAGTTTAAAATCAGAAAAGTAGTTCAAAGAAATTTCATTTTTTAAAAGAAAGCTTTTATTTATATTTTGAAGTTATTTTTCTCTCATTTTTTGTTGCTCATAGCTATTATGAAATACAGTCAAAAGTCGTTAATCCGGACTCGTCGGGACTTCGGCGATTCCGGATTATCATTACTTTATTAAACATTTCTTTCAATGTAAGTTGTTTAAGTTGCTTCATTTTATGTGATAATACTTTCTCTTTAATTCTATAAACAGACATAATTTCTTGTTTTCAGTTACAAAGTTCTGCTGTTCAAGTCCCGTTAATTGCTGTGCCGAGAATATGGACTAACTTGTCAATCGAAATTTTTTCGTTTTCACTAACCTCTCTGTCACATTCTTCATGTCTTTATCCATTTTTTGCAGCAATCCCACTTTTTGTTTGTTGAACATCGAAACATACTTTCGTTTTGTAGATCCTTTGGAAGTTCCAGCATCTGAAATTCTATTTGACATAATCGAAAGTTCAAGTTTACTTTTATAAAATTGCTCTTACAGTCTGCAAAAAATAATAAGCGGGATCCAGTTCGAAGATTAAGGAACAACGCAATCATTAACTGATATAGATAATTAGATAATTTTAGCTTACACCGTCCGTTATACATTAAACGCGCAGGCGAAAACGTATTCTGCACTTGCGCACACGCATATGCGCAGTAATCAAGGTCTTACGCGCACACATAAAACGCCTGTGCGCATGTGCCAACGCGGCGCATGCGCAGAAAGTTTTTAGCTTTGAGGTCCGGATTATAGATCATTCCGGATTATGGGTGTCCGAATTAACGACTTTTGACTGTATGTGTCTTGATATATTCTGCTTTTAATTTGTTATTGCATTTAATATTAAACATTAATAAATATACTTTTATGCTTTATACATGTAAAATATATTTTTCTCTTTCATTTCAGACATTCATATTGCCCTCATCACAGTTATAAACAGTCCAAGCTGTGCCAAGTCATGTTTACCCAGTCATTAAATAAGTTCCTTAAGAACAGTGGATGCCCTGTTTTAGTCAATTGCATTCATCCTGGAATAATATATACAAATTTGTATAAACATGTCTGGTGGGCTTCATTTCTTGGGCCATTATTTTTCAGGGTAAGTTTTCTTCTTCCCTCATACTCAGAATATATCTCTTAATTAGGGGGTGTCAATCACTAAGACGGCATATTTAAAAAATGTGGAAGTTTGGCAACACCATAGGGTAGCTACAATAATATATACAATAATATATATGTATATAATAATAGAAATAAATATAACTATATAATCATATCAAAATCAAGTTAATTTGTATGGACTGCAAATGTAATTTTCTAACAGTTTGTTTTGTTATTGCAAAAAACGTTTCTGAAAAAAATGTTGCTAGCCAAACAAGAAAACTGCAAATTATGCACTGAAGCAGAATTGGATTAATCATTAAGCAAAATAAGGCCATCAAAGAAATGAGACACTACAAAAAGTTGTTAAGGTCTTGGGAAAGAAGGCACCAGAAAAACTTCCCGTCACCGCTTTTATCATGAAACGTACGCCATGGCTAAACCAAGAACAGCTGAGAAGGAATTGAGGAAGATTACCATAAATGTGTGTGAGGGCACCAAAATTATCAATTATCTATGTTCTTAAGGGTTTTAAATGTCTTAATCTGGCTCTGCAGTGAAGTAAGTTGTTGGCACACAATAATCTGTTAAAATGATATTGTTACGAAATGTACAGGCGCGGTAAGATGGCTTCCCCACAAAGCAGTTTTAGGGTTACCATAAAATAGAAAGGAAAACAGGGTTGCCAATTTGGCGAGAAATTGCCCAAGAGAGATTAAGATCGCCCAAGAGAGACAGTGAGATTAGTCATGCAAAAAAACTTTTGGCAGCTGAGCACAAAGCTTCAATTAGGTTTAGAATTTGACTATATATAGAGAGAGAATCTCTCTGTGCATATTACAGCTCTAATTATACTGGTCTGTTTTTGTGAATTATGAATCAAAACTTTTTGTGCTGAACAGCTAGAGGATGAGCCAGTTTCACCAACTAAACTGTGAATGATAGATTTCGCTGGATTTTAAATTTGATTTATCAAGTTCTTTTCTGCCGAAGACACTCATCACTTTGCGAGATTCCATTGAGAAACTTGAAAGTATGTGCAAATTGGCAGCAGTGTTCCACAATGTCAAGTTTTGGCAGTTTTATGGAAGAAAACTACCAATAATGCCGAAACAATGAACTCGACTACTGAATGGGAAATTTTTTCCTTAACCATTGTTTTCCTATTTTATTTTATTTAAAAACAAAATTTATTCGAGGAAAATGATTTAAATAAATAACATAAAAATGACACAAATATTTTATACAAAAAGCAATATTTTTCTTTTATTTTGTTCTAACTTATACTTTGCCATAAATGTATTTACAATTGATCAATAATATTTATCATAAAAATATTCAAAGTATTAAATTGAATAAATGTATTGGTATTGCATTGAATAAATGCTAATTTGTCACAATTTAAGTTTTATTTATACAGTCAAAAGTCGTTAATCCGGACTCGTCGGGACTTCGGCGATTCCGGATTATCGATTTTTCCGGATTATAGATCATCAGTTTAAATCTCGTAAGATGGCATGCAGAAATTCTAAATTAAAAATATGAAACCACAATTTATGAAATAAAGAACAATTATGATCTAAAGGGTATCAAATTTACAAAGAAACAAGCTTAATATTTATTTGTTTACTTTATTAAATTTCTTTCAATGTAAGTTGTTAAGTTGCTTCGGTTTATGTGCTAATACTTTCTCTTTAATTCTATAACAGACATAATTCTTGTTCAGTTACAAGTTCCACTGTTCAAGTCCGTAATTGCTGTGCCGAGAATACCGACTAACTTGTCAATCGGAATTTTTGCGTTTTCACTAACCTCTCTGTCACCTTCTTCATGTTTTTATCCATTTTTTGTAGCAATTCACTTTTTTGTTGATGGACATCGAAAAACTTTCATTTGGTAATCCTTGGGAGCTCCAGCATCGGAAATTCTGTTTGACATAATCAAAAGTTCAAGTTTACTTTTATAAAATGCTCTTACAGTCCTGAAAAAAAAAATAAAGCCGGATCCAGTTCGAAGATTAAGGAACAACGCAATCATCAACAATACTGAAATAGATAATTAGATAATTTTAGCTATACCGTCCGTTATACATTAACACGCACGCGAAAACGTATTCTGCACTTGCGCACACGCATATGCGCAGTCGTAAAGGTCTTATGCGTACGCATAAACGCCTATGCGCAAGTGTCAACGTGGCACATGCGCAGAAAGTTTTTAGATTTGAGGTCCGGATTATAGATCATTCTGTATTATGGGTGTCCGAACTAACGACTTTGACTGTAATATACTATTTATAAAAGGACAATATGGGTTCATGTAAACATTACAGTAAGCTTTTCATTTAAAGGTTTTAATTAAAATTACTTTTAAGAAAATCTGAATTGAAATAAAAATTAGTGTTTATTTCAGTGTACCTAGTGCCAATATTTTATTTTATTATTTATTTATTTATTTATTTATTTTTTTTTTTTTTGATTTAAGAACAAGAACTTTCAGTTATAGGTAACTGTTAAACACAAATGTTTAAACTGCTTGGAAATTTAAAAAAATTACTGTTAAGAGATGACAATGTAATGTAAGGATTTATTATTTAACAGTTATTATTTTTTTACTAAGAAATGGTTCAACTTCTTATATAGCAGTATTTTTTCCTTTGTAGGATTAACTCCCATTTGTTCTAGGGAAAAAATATAATAGTAGAATAAGGTATAGAAATATAAAAATAAGTTATTCAATTAATTGAAAAATCTTGAATATATTATCAATATTTTGCATTGAATATTATTTTTGCTATTGATAAAGTTATAAAAAATTAAATTAATATTTGTTATTTCATATAAGCTCAGAAAAAAATCATTTAATCAACTGGTACAATTTTTTTATTATTAATTGTTTATTTATTTTGCATTTTTTATTTCTGATTAGAATTTTGGGAATTTGAAAACTTTTTATTTTACATTCAGATTAAGCATAGTTAACCAATTCAGACATATTTAACAAATTCTTATTTTTTTTTTTTTTTTTTTTTTTTTGGCTTAAAAACCTTTGAAAACTGAAAATACCTGTTTCTGTTTAATGTTAAAATGCCTGATGATGTGAGGCTAAAAAATATATGAAATATTGTGCCAAAATTTGTCAATAAGACCATGAATGGGCTATAACTGATTAACATTATTGTCATTTGAACATTCTTATCAGCCCACTGTATTTCTTGGCCTTACTTTGATTATATACTTTAATCTTCTATGTCAAAGAATTTTTTTTTTTTTTTTTTTTTTTTAATCTAAGAAATGATTTTCTTTCATTTGACATGTGCTATAAGTTTTGTATTACAATAAATTATAAATTCAAGGAATTGAAAATTAAAAAAAAAAATTACCTGTATATGTGGGGTTACTATATTTTAGAAAATATTATTAGGGCATTTCATGAAAAATCAATTTTGATACAAAAAATAACTACCACTCATTATGCAACCTTTCTTCACATATGGCTAACAAAAATTAGTAGAGAGTGTTTTACGAGGTAATAAGTGGAGTTATAAAGCTGTTTTTTAATTATCTTCGTATTTTTTTAAATATCAAAGTAACATTTAGAGTATGTAATAACATATAAATTCCACCACATAAATTGGATATTATCAAGCACCTCCCCCAAAAAACTGTAAAACAACTACCATTATATCTTTAAAATTTGTGCATATTTTGTAGTTGCAGACAATGTTGATGTATGCATGTGCCAACATCCCAAAACGAGTCGGTTAAAGGAGGAATAATGGGAAGAGAGTTTAAAATTGCTTTCTTTTGTATTACAAGAGTTATTAATTCTTCATTTATAAATTTGGAATTCCCAATGGCAGATATGAAATGATATTTAAATGCCTTTATGTTAGTCTCCTAGTGGTCTGATTAGTCTGGATTTTTGGGAGGAATAAAAGACTGTTGGAAAGAGTAAATAAGGACTCATCCTGATCTTTAACCAATTTAGTTAAAACTCTCAATTATTCGTTTCCCCCCTGCCATGTTAGTACCATTATCAGAACAGATTTTATGACATTTATCCCTTCTCAAAATAAGTCTTTTCAAAATAGGTATTATATAGTATGTAAAGTTAAATCATAAGTTGTAGGACCTTACACACACACACACACACCATTACACACACACACACACACACACACCAAAAAAAAAAATCTGTAGAAAGTTTTTCAGATTTTAAATTGCGTCCAA